TACACTGTTTTTAAAGTTTTACTTAGAATAGTTACAATATCACTTATTTTAGCAATTGGTGAAATGTATTATTCACCTTCAATCATTTAGTTTTAAACTTTTATCATAGCTGAAGGAAATACAGGCACAAATTTAATACATTAAAGATAAGCTTATATTTATCTTTATCCTTCATTATTAAGAAATGATTCTCTTTCTATTATAAAATCCACTCTTTATTTATCATAACTAAATTCATTTATTTACAATTACTTTTTCAAAATTTACCACATATTTGAATCAATTACTTAATAATCTACTCCCTCAACTAAATTAGGTTTTAATTGAGTATTCCATGGATTAGTTTCTATTGGATCATACTTTAACACTTATTTTGGTTTGATTCCAATATCACTATTGATATTACCCAAAGATATTGAATCATCTGGTTCACCTTCGTACCCTACTTTCTTCTTCCAGTTATTTAACCATCTTAATTATAGGATGAATACTCAACTGTGATGAAATTAAGAAAAATGATCCATTTCTTGAATTAAATTCTTATAGAAATTTTTACTCCATCTCTTTATACTTTTAAACTTCCTGTCTAATCATTTTTAAATGAATTTTTTAATTAATAATCAACTTTGATAATCATATATTAAATTAAAAAAAAATATATGAGTGTTTCAGAATGAAATAATAATGATTACTACCCCTTCCGTCTTAACTCAATATCTTTATATCTAATTTATTTAGAATAATTCTCATCTTTTTATCAAATCATTCAGGTAAAATTAGAATTATTTAATTGACAAATTATTCTAAATTTAAATAAATTCTTTCACTTTAATTAATATTATGGGATCCTTTTCTACATTTTATTTATTTCTTTATATCTTATCATAACATTAATTTTATAATCTTAATTCTATTCATTTCTATCAATTAATATAAAAAATGACAACAAAAAAAAAATAATTATAATAATCTTAATATTTGTAGAATAATCCACTTTATAATTGGATATTTATCAATTTCCTTCAGATTCATCATCTGAGGGTGTCTATTAATTTTTTATTTAATCTGTGTAATCTTCAATTTACTTATTTATTTAAAGTACATTCTTTCTATTTCTTTCATATTATTTCTCTTTATAACTTGTAACCAATAATTTAATATCCCTCTCAATAGATGTTGTTATATTTGTATCCTATTTATTTATTGATCATATTACTTTAGTATTTGCTTTAGATTATAAATTATCTTTAATATTACTGACTGTACCCAATAAAGTTTCTTTATTTTCAAATAACTAAATAATTATAATACTTATTAATATACTGTTTATAAATCTTCATCCCATTCACTTAAATCACTTCCTTATTACAACAATAATTAATATCTATCATATTCTAATTTAGCTATATCTGTTAATTTAGTTCCAAATTCTCTAATAAAATCTCCAATTTTTTTAAATCCATGATCTCCTGAAACATAATCTGACATATCTTTAGTTATAAATCCTAATTTTCCATCAAAATCTCCTAAAGCAGCTTCTATATCTACCATTAATTATAATTCTGTAGATAATAAATTATCTTTAAGTTTTAAAGTTTCTTTTTCTAAATCTTCTAATTTTTATTTCCAACCTTCATCATTTCTCTCTTTTGCTCTAAATGCTAATTTCTTTTGATGTTCAAATTTTTTAATAGTTAATATAGTTTCATTTTCACTTTTAATTTCTCTTGCTCTAACTGCTTATTCAAATTTCTATTTTAATTATTATTTTATTTACTTCAATTGATTATAATTTTGCTGTATTTTTTTAAATAACATTCTTTTATAAATTTTCAACTGTTTCTTTTATTTTTTCTTAAAATTTATTTATTTCTTCTTCTACACCTTTCATAGTTTTTACTTTTTCTAATTCCTCATCTTAAATTAATTCATCACTTAATTTTTCTACTAAATCCATTCTAGCACTCTTTCTTTTAAATAATTCATCATTATTATTTTTTTCTTCTTATTCTTAATTTTACATCTATTTTAAAAAATCTTCTTAAGTTATTGCATCAGTTCTAAATTTTTCATCTGATTCTCTTATTTAATTTCTTTATGCTTCATCAATAAAACTATAATCTAAATATCTTAAATTAGGTAATGAATTAATAATATGATTTTTATAATCTGGTTCTTTTGTAAATGGATTTCCTGCTACATTTAAAACTTATAAATTCTTAAATTTCATTCCTTTTCCTTTACTAAAATACTATGTTACTATTTCAAAGGAAGGTATTTTATTATTACCAATAGATAATACATTTAAAGATTTACAATTATCTAAACCTCCAACTGATGTTAATTAATTATTAAACATTGATAAATCTTTCAAATTGACTAATTTATCTAATCCTTCTATTTCCTTTATCAAATTAAATGATAAATCAAGCCAATGTAAATTAACTAAATGATCCAAATTCTCTATCTTTTATATTATATTATTATCTAATTGTAACTTCTCTAATCTCTCTAAACCTTATAGGTTTTCAATCTTCCAAATATCTATACAATTATAATTAATTTTATTTACTTTTAAAAGATAATGACATTACACGTAAAGAATTTAACATAATTTAATCTCCCATTGTTATTTTATTCTCTGCATTATAATCTTTAACTGATTTACTTTATAGTTATAATTATATAATTACATGATTAATATTTCATCAATAACTGTTGGCTCAATTGAAGTCTTATTATTTCTTTTATCAATCTTTGGAAGATGAGCACTTTGAAAGTTTAACATTAATATAAATATATTATTTCAATTTTTATTTATTATACATTAATTTCAACATCATTTAAATCCTTCCATTTCATAATCATTTATACTACAAAGATGTGAATACTTAAAGTTTATAACTTATTTATTACAACTAAAATTAAATATATATTATTAATCCCATATAATTTACTCAGTATTAGTAAATATATATATTTAAAATATTACTTATTGTATACTGACAATCATTATGTTCATTCTTCCTCTCCAATAGGAAAGGAAGTCATACAACCCCAGAAACCATTAAACACACCCTGAGTATTGCTACATTCATTGTAGCGTTAATCCTCTTGGCTATTCTCGTAACGATTGTCAAATTTAGAGTGCTTATCGTCAAAAACCAGCAAATCATGACGAGTCATAAGTGCTCTAAATAGTTATTTTTATATTTTTTTTCATTAATAATTCAAAATATTCTTTAATTTCTATAAGGCCTTCTCCAATAATGGATGATTGACATTGTTACTCGTATCTAGAATAATAATATATTATTCTAATTAATGTTTTGAAAATCTTAAACATCCAAGGCAATTTTCAGGAAGTAGAAGAATTCGATAAATTAACCTGATGATTGAGTAGTGTTCTTATGGAACTTAATGGTTCCCTATAAATCTTGAGGCAAATTCATCAGCTCTCTGAAAGAGCATATTAATAATGAGACCAACATTTTGTTCAAAATTATTCCTGGTCTTTATTCTCATTTTTTAATATTAACTCAACATCATAAAATAATAGCATAAAATCTATTAATTAAAGAATTATTATTAAAATGAATTCTTTCATAAATTAATAAATTTTATGATTAAATACTTGTTTGTTTTAATATTACTTTATTTGACTTAAGCCAAGAGAATCAAACAGAGCTATCTCATTAAATCACTTAAAGATTGGCATTACATATCTAAATTTGGAGCTGAAACAGGAGAAGTATTCTATTCATTAACGTAACAAAAATTAATAAATATTAGATTCCGAATCAAGAATGCTGATGAAAATGATGAAAGAACAATTCCAATTTAATATGAATTATATTTAGATGAAGAATGGTAAAATGCAATAGAGAAAAGTGAATGTGATGTAAATAAATAATTATTACAAAATTAGAGAAATTCAGTAGCAAGAAGAAAAGAGACTATTTGGATTCCAGTAAAAAGTGGATATGAATTTAAAGGAAGTTTAACAGCAAAAGTTAGAGCACATTTATGGTATTTTGTATTTAGTGATTGTGAAAAATAATTAAGAAATTCATTTCCAGTTGAAAATAAAGTTAAATTAGAAGTTGAATTACATATTAAAAATGTTGGTGACACTGAATTTACATTAGAATAATTTGGCATATTATAAATCATAGGTGTAATAGCTTTTATTGATGTAATAATGCTTATTTATAATGGTAATCAAATCTTAGAAAAATAAAAAAAATATGAAGAATTTAGTTTACCATTATTTTTATTGGTTATTACTTTATTATTAGAGACATTTTCTTATAGTTTTTTAACTATTCATTTATGGATATATAGTGAGAATGGAGCTGGATCAATACTATTATAAATTTTGTCTGTTATTTTTTAAGTGGCATCTTAATTTTCATTAACTATGATTTTGGTCATGTTATCATGGGGATGGTAAATAAATTTTAGTAAATTTGATAATTTTGAATTATTTTTACCAATATCAATATTAATAGGATTCTTTTAGATTACAATTGTAGGAGTAAGTTTCATAGATTATGATTCATATTATAAAGATCATTCATATGAAGGTTGGGTTGGATGGTTAGCTGCTTTGATATATATAGGGGAATTTATATATTTTATGAATGGATTAGTTGACACTTACAATAAATAGAATACTAAGATTTAATAATTTATTTTATTATTGGGTTTGTATGGTGGAGTATATTTCATAAGTTTCCCAGTTTTATAGACTGTAAATTTAGTAAATGATCATTTTATATTATTAAGTTTACAGCCAGGTATGTCAGATATAAAGTGATGGAAATTGGAACTATGTTATTTAGAACTTCTGCCATTTTGTTGCTTACTAGATTGTTTACTTCAAAAAAATCGATATTTGCTTAGATTTCAATAGAGAATAAGAGTTTTTTAGATAGAAATAAGGATGAATGAGTGTAATGTATATCTGTTTATTTATTAATTTTATTAATTTTGTAAAGATGAGTAAAGAGAAAAAGATTGAGTCATCTATGTTAACATTTTTTGTATCGGAGATGACTTAGAATTTTTGGGAGTAAACTTAAACAACAGAATTAGATGTATTGAATTATATTAATTAAAGTCTTAAGAATTCCTAATAGAACATGAATTTGTTAGAGAGGCTAGAAAGGAAGTTAAAGTCAAACATACTTTACTTGTGTTAGGAGAGGAATATTTATATAAGATCTCTCCAAAATAAAATTTAAAACGAGTTCCTTTAAATATATTGCATTTCGATACAATTCCAAAATTACCAGAAGATCATATTTTGCAACTCAATTCTGAAAATTAATTATAAGGATTCAAATTAACTTATGCAAATAAGATACTTCAAGTTTTTACATAAAACTCTGTTGTTTTTTTGTAATGGTAAGCTATTTTAAAACGTAAATGTCTACTATCTTGTTTCCATGAAACATATCATGTTGAAAAAATGATAGGTAAAGGCAGTTTTGCTAAAGTATATTTGGCTACATCAAATGGATAATCATATGCTATTAAAGCATTTAGTAAACAATTCATAAGTGAATAACCAAAAGTATACTTTGTTTTTTAAAGTAGGGTAGAGAAAGTCTACTTAATGAGATGTAAGTTATGAGAGCTATTAAACATCCTAATATAGTATAATTATTAGAAGTACATGAAACATAAAATTCAATTTATTTTGTTTTAGAATTAGTTGTTGGAGGGGAATTACTTTAAAGAGTTAAAGAAAAAGGTAAATATTTATTATTATATAAGGATTATTGAAATCAGATGATTTGATGAAAATTGCATTTAATTTACTAAGTGCATTAGATCATTTGCATTAAAAAAAAATATTCCATCGAGATTTAAAACCTGAGAATCTCCTTTTTAAATCTAAAGAAGATAATTACAATATAATGATTGCAGATTTTGGTTTAGCAGCATTTTCTGATTAAGAATTAATATTTAAAAGGTGTGGAACTCCAGGTTTTGTTGCACCTGAAATTTTATTATATATTGATGGAGGACCAATTTATGATACAAAATGTGATATATTTAGTGCTGGTGTAATTTTATACATATTAATTGTATAATTATATTATTAATAAGACTGGTAAATAACCTTTTCATGGTCAAGATTAAAAGGCAATTTTAAAAGCAAATAAAGCTTGTTAAATAGATTTTGGATTGCCAGCTTTTTTAAAAACTCCTATTGAATTTTAAGATTTAGTAAAAAAGATGATGTCTAGTAAAATTAGTGATAGATTAACAGCATAAGATGTAAGTATTGTTATATATTTTATTAAGTGTTTAAAACATAAATTATTTGCTAAAATATCTTAATAATTAAAATAAGATTAATAAGATTTAGAAGAATAATAATAATAAGTTTTGAATAATTTGGCCAATTATGATATAGAATATACAATTGGTTTAAAAAATAATACTTAGAAGTAAAATATAATTAAATTAGTTCGGAGGATTTAGTGGGATCACAATAATTACAATGGCGAAAACCAGCTTATAATGGTAATGTTTAGACTGTTGAAACCTTAACAAATTGTTCCACTGTTTCGATTAAATAAATTGATGCTTAATCTTCATCTTTGTTCTAATAATAAAAATAACCTTAATAATCTAAATTTAGTATTTTTAGTGCTAAATTATCAAGATAAAATAGTTTTGATGGAGGAACTGGTATTATATATATATATATATAAATAGATATGTTTAAAGAATGTGCATCTCCTGGTAGAAGTAAATTATCAAAAGAGAAGGATTTACATAAGATTGCATTGAAGAATTCATTTCGATTTTACTAAAAACCATAATTATAAGTGGAAGATAATTAAATAAATCAAGAATAATCAGAGGTAAGTGAATTAATTAAAAGACATAATTCTAGTGAATTGATAAAAATGAATCGTACTGATCATGAAATTTAATCTCCTAAAAAAATCGAATGATATAAAATTATAAAAACTTATATATATTTAATATTTAAATTCAATAATCTTACATTAAATTTTATCTATCCTTTAAATTTAATTAACCTTTTCCTTTTTCTTTCATTTCTTTTGCACATTTAATCTTTTATTTAACTTCTGCTACTGCTTTTTTCATTCCATTCTCTTCAAATGTTTTTAAACTCTTCTAAAAATAACTCAAAGCATCTCTAAATTCTTATACTAACAATAAAATTGTTCCTTTTATTATTATTTATATAAATATACCAATAATCTTTTAAGTTTTAGCTACTTAAACACTACCTTCTCCATATACTTTAACTTCTAAATCTTCAGTTTCATATAATTCACCTAATGCTTCTTAATGTCTTTCTTATTTTAATTGAATTATAGCAATTTATCTTTTTATCTTAATAACTTTCTTATCTTAAGCAGTATATAATTCAATATATATTTATTTAACTTTTTATAAACAGGAAATTTGTTCATCAATTTATTAAATTTTCTCATAATAAGTTGATAATTATTATTAAAGTTCTGCTACATATTCAGTTTTATGATAATTAATCTCTATTAACATATCTATAGCACTTATTTGACATTAAATAGCATCTTTCCAATTTTCTTAACAAGCAAATATCTTTGCTTTTTCAATATAAGAAATTGCACTCTATTCTGATTTATAACCATATTTTGCTTCAGTAATAGCAAATACTTTAGTTATACATTCTTCACTTGCATCATAGTCTTTCATTTTACTAAAATATAATAAATTATTTAATTTACGTATAACAATTAGACATTAAAGTCAATGTTTAGATTGAATGTTCAGTTTCATCTCCATATATTTAACATTAAGTTTCATAAGCTTTTTTCAATAAATCTAAGGATTCTTCATAACTATTTATTTCTAGATAACATTTTCCAAGTAATGTAAGTATTATTGCATTATAACTTTTACTTTCTTATTCTTCATTATATAATTTTGCATTTTTCTTTAAAGCTAATGTTAAATGATCAATAGCTTATTCATAACATTTATAATTTAGATATGCTTCACCTATATTTGTATGAGCTTTCACTAATTTGAATTATCCTTTTCCATGTGTAAATACTAAAATCTTTAAAATAAAGTGATAATAATCAATACTTTAGCTAATGCCAATTAATGCATTCTTATATTCAATATTTATTCTTCACTTTTATCTTTAGAATATTCATCTAACATTTTCATTTTTTCTTCTAAATCCTCTGATATCTTATCTTCAATTTATTTTTATTGATCTGGTTAATAATTACCATAATTCTTGTCTTATTAATATTTTTCTTTTTATGCTAGACAATTATCATATATATTTATTTACAGTTATCAAATTGATTAGATTCCATTTAATCATCTTGATTAAATTAATCATAATCCTCTTCATTTTAATCTTAATCATCTTAGAAATTTCCATCATCATCATCATACCCTTCTTGCATATTTCTGTTATATCTATTGTATATTAAATATAATAATTTAAATTAAATAAATACTCTTATAGTATTATATTATATAACATATGGTATTACTTAAATTTCTTTATCCAAATCTATTCTTTCATTTCTTAAACATCACTATTTCTAATTACATAATCATTTATAATATTTTTTATTAGCTTCATTAATATTAACAACATTTAATCTAATTTGTGGCTATCAAACCCTAAACATTCTTATAGTTTATTAATACACTAAGACAATAAACCTTTAAATCCTTCTTTAAGAATATATTAATAAATATGATGTAAAATTTTAGAAAAATTATCAATGTACCATCTTAGATTGTTGAAATTACCAAAATCTCTAAAACAAAAGGTGACTTAGAAGAAATTATTTCACCAGAATCTGATCAAGAAGACTTATCTTGCTCTACTCCTTAAAGCAATTATTTCAAAGGAGATAATGATTCTAAGACTAAAAAAAAGAAGAAACACATTAGATTTAGCTTCTAAAATCAAGTTTGTAGTTGCTAGTTAAATTCGAAACTGAATTCCCCTAAAGATTCACCTCGTATGAATTCACAATCAATTTAATCTATTCTCAAGCCTCAAAGCCTTTCAATGTTTTGTTAAAAAAAGAAATGAATCTGATTTATTTATGTTTTGAGAAATCTTGGTTAAAAAAATAAATCTCTAAAAATTTTATCACATAGAAAACCTAATCCATAATTCTACATTATATTTGTCAAATTATGAAAATTAACTGATTAGTATGGTTTTTAGGAGGCAAAACTCAATATATATATTATATTCAAAGAAAATTATTATAATCAAAATATTAATTTAAAATAAAATAATCTTTTCAATTAAGTTTATCATATTTATACAATTTCTAATTTTTGATATTTCCCTTATCTATATAAATTAAAATTAGTAATATAATCCAAATTAGCCTATGTTTATCAATTCACAAATACAATAATATTTCTCCTCCATAAACTTTTGAAAATTCTTAATTATAGAATTAATTGAAAACAAAAATCTATTATTTTAACTAATTACAAGCCTTCTCATTTGGATGCAAATGATATTCAAATTAAATTTGGAAACTATATGTTTAAAATTTGATTTATTTTCAAAAATTTGCTATACAAATTTAAATCTATAAATCTAAAACTATATATATTTTTTATTTACTTTCTAAAAAATAAATCTTATTTCAATGTAATTTTTCTTTATTACTTAAACAAAGAAAAAATAAGGAATTTAGCTTTTAAATAAATACTAATTTCTAAAGGCACAACCTACATATTCAATTTGTAATTAATCTTAAATAGATAATAATTGAAGATTTTATGCGAAGAATTTAAATTAAACTTTTGAAAACATAAAAGTTACTTATAAATCATTTGTAGAATGAACATGGATGCAAATAAAAAGTCTTTTTTTTTATAGAAAATTATTATTTGCCAATAAATTATATATTTATGAATTAGATTAGAATACCTTATAGTAAAAATCATAAACAAGTTGGATACTGAATTAATTCATATTAAAATAAATAATAATATAAATTAATAATAGTATTAATTTCTAATAATACTTAATATCAATCAAAAGAATTCTAAATACATTTTTTTCTATAACTAATGTTATCTTGATTTACCAAATAATTATTCTAGATTGGCTGTTGCATTAACAAAAATACTTCTTTTAGTAATTTTAGAGAGTCTCTTCAATTCCAACATATTAGCATTTTGATTAGCAATATTAAATACCATAAGATCAACTTAATTTTTCTCTAATACTTATCTTAACTTTAAAAATTATTTCTCACTCATTTTATTATTTACTAAACATAGATTTAATAATTATAATTACTTTCAGTGAAAATACAAATAAATTTATAACTAGTTCTAAAATCATTTTTTTATTATGATTTCTCATTTTCTGTTATATTAGAATAATCAATTTCATTTTTTATAAATTAAAAATCATCATTTTCAAATTCAGAGTCAGACTCACTATTTAAATCATATTGATATTCTTAACTAAAATAATAATAATTAATAATTAAATACCTAAAATTAACATGTTTATTCTTGTCATCAATATTTTCTTCAATTAAACTTTTCTCTTCATCTTCTTCTGCAACTGGAAGTAATTTCATTTTTTATTTATCATTTAAATTTTAATTTTGTTTCTTGTCATAATCATTATCATTAATTGTAATTTTATGTTCAAAGAAATTCTTAACAGAATATTTTAAAGCTTAGAATATCTTTGATTTTCCTCCAGGAGCAGTAATAGCCATGAATAATTATTTAGTCAATAAATCTTTATATGTTCCTTTTGGTTATAATGGAAAAGCTTCATGAAGAGAATTATTAAAACCATACATTCCAATTAAATCTTGGGGTTACAAAATATGAAAAATTCTATTACAAATACTATGAGACAAATTAATTTGTTCAATACTCATTTCTTTAGAATAATCAATCATGAATACAATTTCATAAGTATTAATAGAAATTTAATTTCTAAATTATTGAATAGGCAAAGGAGAAATACTAAATAGATTTATAATTTTCTCTAATGCTGTTAAACAGAAATCACGTACTTCAGGATCATAATATTCACCTAATTCTATAATTTATGTTAAGATTTCAGAACCAGTCTTAAAATTTCCTTCAATTAATTCATATATAGCTTATAATTGCATAATTTTTGATAATAAAACTTCTTTTGGTACATTTTTAAACATGTCAACAAAATTATAATCTTCTTATATTTAATTTTATTCTTAAATAAAGTTTTCATTAAGTTTATTATAATATTCTAAAGCCTTCTTTTGAGATATTTTGAAATTACTTAAATCTCCAATTTAAATATAACACAATGCCTTTTTAACATGAAGATTTAATAATCTTACTATATTACTTTAAGTAAATTATTATTCTTTTTCTGCTGTAGCTTCAAATTCATTAAATAATTTAAGAGTTTCTGGGATAAAGATTTCATTTTGCATACAAATAGTAAACATAAATTATGCTAATTGAAATTATCTATTTAATAATTTAGCCTTTGCTAATTTTTTCTTTTTCATCAATTCTGTAATTTTCTCTTCAATCATTTATAATTCTGTCATTCCTCCAGTAGATTATCTAGAATCTCCTCTTATTCTTTCTTCTTAATCTTATCTATACTCTTCATCCCTATATCTTTCATCTTATTAAATAATACTCTCTTTTAAATCCAATCTCTAACTAATAATACTACTTTAATTATATGAATGGCTGCCAAGATTTCTGAGTCTATTAATAGATACATTTGGAGATAATTAAGGAGTTATATTAGGTGAATTTTCAATTTCTACTGAATTAATTGGTTACATATGTTATCTACTTTCTGCAAATGACATTCTTTTCTTATTAATTGGAGTTTGTATAGAATTTGTTTAATTTTAAGTAATTTTATTTTATGTACCAGTATTGAGTAATGCAACATGTGGTATACTATTTTTTTATAATAATTAAGTAGTAGATTAATTTTTATTATGTTTTTCTTTTGGTTTATTTACAAGAGATTATGAATTTAATTTTAATTAACTATTTTATTTTTTAGTTTTGTTATTATTGTTATTAATTTGTACACCTATCCAATTAATTTTCATTTATTCTTTAAATTTTTATGCCAAACCTTTTAATCTTTATTTAAAATTTTAATATAAATTTGGTTCTTACAATGCTGATTACATACCTAAACACCATTTTTTAAGTTCTTTAATTTCTATTAATTCTAATTTTGCAATATAGATTGCTTCTTCCATTTCATTTATTGCTTCAAATACTCTACCTCCTTTCATATGTAATATTCCAATATTATTAGCACATATTCCAACTGCACTCATATTTCCTATTTCTTTTTTATAAAAATCTTTTGCTTTACTTAATTCCATCAAAGCCAAAGCATCAGAATGTTTAGAATTAGAATATTTTTGATTTGAATATTTTATTGTTGTTACAAAAATGTTCATAGTTTAAAATAAGGATTTAATCTCAAAGGAATTAAAATAATCCTAATAATTAATCAATTCTTCTTCTTAGTCCATATTTTATATATCAATACTATTCATAAAATCCGTTAAGACTTTTATTGGTTATTCAAATGATAAACCAATACGACCAGCTGTATACCAAACAAATATAAATATAACTATGTTTATATTTATAAATATATATACCAACTGATAATGCAATAATAACAATAAAAACTATGATCTCTAACATCCTAACATTATTTAATGATGTTCCTTCATATAATTCTTGAATTAGAGTTTATTCCTCAAAATAATGTACCAAAATAAAGGAAGGCATAATAAAATTGTTTTCTTCTGGTTCTATATAAACATATCTTCTTCCATTTTCAGGAGCTGTAACTATAGATACTTTCTTTGTAGAATAGATATTCACTTTAGAAAATAATAGATAAAATTTATTTTAACCAAACGAATATGTCAAGGATGTTGAATTTAGTGTTGTATTCTAAACTAATTCTTTAGATTTATTCATTATTTATGGTGCTAAATCTTTATTCAAGGAATTATAAGAAGATTAACTAAAATCTTTAGTTTTTACTATATATTTTATAATAGATTCTGAAATAGGAATATTACTAAAATCTTTTGGAGCTAAATTAATGAATTCATCATTAATAATAGCAATAAAGAACTAATGTTCACTTTCACCTTAAATCTTATGTTATTAATAATGTCTTGTTATCAAATCTTCTAAATATGAATTTGAAATCTTTGCTGTCATGAAACATTAATTAAAATTATCTGAAGAAATGATTTGTGTTATTGTTAATGATGGATTTTATGTGAATTCATCTTTATCTACATAAGACATTGAAAAATTTAAAGTAGAGTCTAATTTAAATCTCTCTTTTGGTAGCCAATCAGCAGTATTAATGTTCTTCAACAAATTTTATTATTTTTAAGTGAATTATGGTATTCTTACAACTAAAGAGTCAGTACAATGAACCATTATAGAATCATATGTAATAGGAATCAATCTTGAATCATCTTCTCTCTCTTTTGATACTAATTATTTATCTTATGAAGATGATCTTGTGTTGCTATTAGAAATATGAATATTCAATACTTTATTATGATATCTGATAATATAAGTGATTAGGTAATCTTATTTATTAAAAAACTTAATCTAGGGTTTCCTTTATGTAAGGCTTCTAATTTACTATAATTAGAATGACTCCAAGCCACTGTGTAATATTCTTCTGTTATTTGACCAGATGAAAATGAATAAGGGGCAATTTATTTAGTATTCAAAGTCCTAGATTGACTTAAAATAATACCAAGATGAAAAGTTTTAAAATTCACCAAAACAATAATGTCTTAAATGTGCACTCACACCAAATATTTAATTATAATATGCTTAATATTATATGTAGATTTCCTATAATTCAATAATTAAATACTTGTTATATGATGTTCATTTCTATTTATAACCCATTTAAATGTCTGTTTATGTGAAATTCTAAGAGAGAATCCTAAAAACTTGGGATACTCACAAAACCAAGCAATCCAACTTATAGCACTGCTAATATAAGAATCAAAATTATAGGTATCAATATAACAAGTAATATCTAATTTTTTAGTTCCATACCTCTCTATTAAAAATTAATGTGATATTAAAATAATGGAAATCAAGATATTGAAAAATATGAAATTTATATATATATATAAAATTTAAATTATCACAATAGACAAAAGTATCAATTGCATTCGGGAATTTTCTCAAAATAATTAGAATAATCATTATAATAAGAACTATTAAATTTTAAATTATCCTCAAAAATCTAACGTCACGAATATTATTATACAACTTCAATTAAACTTTAATAAAAATAATTAATAAGTCTAATTTAGCAGTATATATATATAAATAAAAAAACAAAATCATTTATTATTTGCTCTCACTCTAGCTGAAAATATTATATTACACAATTTTTAAATTGTAATTTCTTTATTATTTAATTTCAATTATTTCTATAAAAGATTGTCTGAATTTCTTTTGCGTTATTTAAATTAGATTTATATTTTGTAAAGCTAATCTGCTTTATGTTTATTAGTTTTCTGAATCTTTAATGGATTATCCCTTGAAGAGTAAGTGGGACTAGCAAATAATTATTTCCATTCTATTTTCTAACTAAGATTAAGAATGGTTTGAATTTCCAATTAACTTTAAGGTTTTCGTTTTGATTATGCTGTACTTCTTACACTATAAAGGAGATTTGGAGATTAGAGTCCAGATCTAGAAGCTGTTTAAAGTGGAGAAGTATTTGCACTTCGAGCAGAAACATAATTATTCTAAACACAATTAATAATGGATCCCTGAGATTGGGATTTAAAATGATTACCTTATTTCTTAGCTTAACTCTTTCTCCATTATTTAATTTTTTCCCTTTTTGAATCTTCTAAAAAGATTTTATCAATCAATTTTTAATTAAAATCTGAATATTTCCTTGTCAAAGGTGTTTTTATTTTAGGTTTTTCTGAATTGATAATTTCATCTGGCTCTTAATTAGATTTATTAACTAAATCACCTAAGAAGTTGAGAGATGATCGAGGAGAAGATTGATCTTCTTATTTCTAAAATTTATATACTTATAATTACTAAAAAGTTTCGAGTTTGAAGATCATACATAACTTGTACAAAACCTTGATTTGAAGTTGGTTTTAGCATAGTTGCACCAGCTCTAATTTAAGGTTATTAGGAATGACGACTAGGTCCAGCCATAGTTATTTCCTTCTTAATTCCCATTTAAATTAATGTTTTTTTATTCTTTTTATTAGCTAAAGTACGAGGATTAAGCATTTTAGTAGGTGATTAAGTCAAAACCTTCTACATCCAAGGATGACTTAATATTTAATATGCTGAATATCTTTCTGATTGATCAGGATTCAACATATTAGTTACTAATTCCTTATATTCTTTGCTTAGAATAAGATGAGAAGGGAATGTATAATTACACTTTAAGATATTGTCAATAGTTTACTCATCACTTCTGGAAGTAAAAGGTAAATTAGCACAAACAAGAGCATATAGGATTACTCCTAATGCCCAAATATCTATAGATGATCTTATTTCAGTAGCTTAACCACCTACTACTTCTGGAGGCATGTAACTTAATGATCCTCTGTCAACTTTATCAATTGTAAAATTTGTTGAAACTGTTGCAATACCGAAATCAATTATTTTAATCATTTTTTCTGCTTTTGATGTCAATAACACATTTTCTAATTTCAAATCTCTATGAATAAGACGTTTATCATGACAATAACGAATAGCTTCAGCAATCTATCGAAATATTACTCTAGCTTCTTCCTCTGACAATCCTCCTTTTTCTAAATTTATTATATTATTATACACCTTAAATATATTCAACCAAATCCCCTCCTTGTAAGAATTCCATTATTAATACAACTTACATATTTGGAAGTGTATAATAGTTTAATATTTTTATGATATTATTATGTCTAAGATTCTTCATCACTTCTGCCTCTCTAAACACTAAATCAATATCCTCAGCATTCCATAATTTCCCAGAATCTATCAGTTTTATTGCTACCTGTTCTCCTGTTACTTTATGTTTACCTAACATCACCTTCCCAAATCCACCCTCTCCAAGTACTTTAACTATTTGATAAACACTTATTTATGAATAAGCATCAAAGTCGCTGCCTAAGAAATAAATTGGATACAATGTATACTGTCTGATATATATAAGAGAGTCCCCTCTTTTATATATGGAAGATCTTCTTAAAATATCTCTATGCCTTATTAAGTAAACAATCTAAGACATTGAATTTTCATTTGATAATAATTCTCAGCTTTAGTTTTGATATCAGCCATACAAATTTACCTCTAAGGTTTATAAAATCAAATTACTTAAAAAAACTTAAACCTAATGATATTAGCATCTGGTTATCCATTTAAGGTTAGAAGAAGATATTTTCTCTTTTCTGCTTGAATGGAATCATTGATTTCAAAATCCATAGGTATTTTAATAAATATTATTCTGATGAGACAAGTAAATTAACAGTGTATTCATTTAAATTATATATTACATCAGATTTACCTTCTTGGTCTTAACTTTTAGTCCCTTCTTTATTCTACTTCCATCTTCTCTTTCATATCCTAGGCTCTTTGTATTTNGCTAAAGTACGAGGATTAAGCATTTTAGTAGGTGATTAAGTCAAAACCTTCTACATCCAAGGATGACTTAATATTTAATATGCTGAATATCTTTCTGATTGATCAGGATTCAACATATTAGTTACTAATTCCTTATATTCTTTGCTTAGAATAAGATGAGAAGGGAATGTATAATTACACTTTAAGATATTGTCAATAGTTTACTCATCACTTCTGGAAGTAAAAGGTAAATTAGCACAAACAAGAGCATATAGGATTACTCCTAATGCCCAAATATCTATAGATGATCTTATTTCAGTAGCTTAACCACCTACTACTTCTGGAGGCATGTAACTTAATGATCCTCTGTCAACTTTATCAATTGTAAAATTTGTTGAAACTGTTGCAATACCGAAATCAATTATTTTAATCATTTTTTCTGCTTTTGATGTCAATAACACATTTTCTAATTTCAAATCTCTATGAATAAGACGTTTATCATGACAATAACGAATAGCTTCAGCAATCTATCGAAATATTACTCTAGCTTCTTCCTCTGACAATCCTCCTTTTTCTAAATTTATTATATTATTATACACCTTAAATATATTCAACCAAATCCCCTCCTTGTAAGAATTCCATTATTAATACAACTTACATATTTGGAAGTGTATAATAGTTTAATATTTTTATGATATTATTATGTCTAAGATTCTTCATCACTTCTGCCTCTCTAAACACTAAATCAATATCCTCAGCATTCCATAATTTCCCAGAATCTATCAGTTTTATTGCTACCTGTTCTCCTGTTACTTTATGTTTACCTAACATCACCTTCCCAAATCCACCCTCTCCAAGTACTTTAACTATTTGATAAACACTTATTTATGAATAAGCATCAAAGTCGCTGCCTAAGAAATAAATTGGATACAATGTATACTGTCTGATATATATAAGAGAGTCCCCTCTTTTATATATGGAAGATCTTCTTAAAATATCTCTATGCCTTATTAAGTAAACAATCTAAGACATTGAATTTTCATTTGATAATAATTCTCAGCTTTAGTTTTGATATCAGCCATACAAATTTACCTCTAAGGTTTATAAAATCAAATTACTTAAAAAAACTTAAACCTAATGATATTAGCATCTGGTTATCCATTTAAGGTTAGAAGAAGATATTTTCTCTTTTCTGCTTGAATGGAATCATTGATTTCAAAATCCATAGGTATTTTAATAAATATTATTCTGATGAGACAAGTAAATTAACAGTGTATTCATTTAAATTATATATTACATCAGATTTACCTTCTTGGTCTTAACTTTTAGTCCCTTCTTTATTCTACTTCCATCTTCTCTTTCATATCCTAGGCTCTTTGTATTTCTTTTCCCTTCATTAATAGTAAATCTAGTCTATATAGACAATCTGATGGTAGTGGTTTAGATTCAAGCTCTAAAATAAAAGGTCTATGACAAATTAATTATTGTACCTATGAACATTAATATCCCAATATCTTTAATTATTTATATCTAGATGAGATGTCCATCTGCCAGTTAATTATTCATAATTTTCTAAAATTTCTTCTTATTTTATTTTAAGTTTCATATTCAATCCTGAACCTGTACGATGTGCTAATTTACATCTCTCAATACAAATCGGAGTAACTTTATGAATTTAACCAAAAAAAAAATAATCTATTTGTTAATTAGATTTAGAAAAGAAACTACGATTTTTATCTTTTGGATTAAATTGGATAACAGAACATATTACATCCCATATTAACAACAGGACTAAATGCTCCATATAATTTATAGTCTCTACCAAACATAATATAATTAGGAATAGGAGGATGATGGGAAGTCTATTCCAAATATATAGGACAACCTTTTATCCTACCTTAAAAAGTTTCCCCTAAAATAGGATTAAAAGGTTTCTCTTATTAAATTCCCATCATAAAACTTGAAAAATAGAATGCTAGAGTTAATTTCATTTATTCTTTCACATCAATTGATTGGGCTGCAGCTCCAAAAATAATGGTGCATGTCTTTAAGCCCTTGCCATTCTTTCCAAAAATGATCTGCTCTCAAAAATCTATATTGGTAATGAAACTGACATAACAGATTTACCATTAATTATATTAGATCCTATTCTCTTGATCATATTCAAGAGTACAGATCTTTAATCTCTTAATAGTCTTTCATTATGATAAGTGAATCCACCTCTTTATGAATCAACTCTATAATGTTTAGTATACAAGAAATGTCCATCTTCTTCAGTACTATCTAATTGCAAAGTTAATCCTTATAATATTCTTTAATCTGAATAAGAATTTATGGCTTCATTTATATATTCTCCAGTGTAGACTTTGTCAATGAGTTTGAGAAACTCTTCTGGAGATTTTATTTAATGTTATTCAGATGTTATTCTAAAGATTTCTTAATCTGTTAGTTTAATAGAGATTTATAGTGTATCTAAATTTTCGTAATTTTTAGTAATTACATTTTCTGTTATCTATTAAATTTATTCTTAAATTTAAATTAAATTTCTATCATTAGAAGTAATATTCATTAACAAGACTTTCAACATTTTTTCTCCTGCATCTTTATCTTAACATTCAACATATATCTCTTCAATCAACAAACTTTTATAATCTTACTTACTAAATGATTATCAAAATCAATACTTGGAATTTTAAACTACTAAAGCAGATCTAATTATTTTATATTTATCTAAATGTTAAGCAAAATTANATGGTAGTGGTTTAGATTCAAGCTCTAAAATAAAAGGTCTATGACAAATTAATTATTGTACCTATGAACATTAATATCCCAATATCTTTAATTATTTATATCTAGATGAGATGTCCATCTGCCAGTTAATTATTCATAATTTTCTAAAATTTCTTCTTATTTTATTTTAAGTTTCATATTCAATCCTGAACCTGTACGATGTGCTAATTTACATCTCTCAATACAAATCGGAGTAACTTTATGAATTTAACCAAAAAAAAAATAATCTATTTGTTAATTAGATTTAGAAAAGAAACTACGATTTTTATCTTTTGGATTAAATTGGATAACAGAACATATTACATCCCATATTAACAACAGGACTAAATGCTCCATATAATTTATAGTCTCTACCAAACATAATATAATTAGGAATAGGAGGATGATGGGAAGTCTATTCCAAATATATAGGACAACCTTTTATCCTACCTTAAAAAGTTTCCCCTAAAATAGGATTAAAAGGTTTCTCTTATTAAATTCCCATCATAAAACTTGAAAAATAGAATGCTAGAGTTAATTTCATTTATTCTTTCACATCAATTGATTGGGCTGCAGCTCCAAAAATAATGGTGCATGTCTTTAAGCCCTTGCCATTCTTTCCAAAAATGATCTGCTCTCAAAAATCTATATTGGTAATGAAACTGACATAACAGATTTACCATTAATTATATTAGATCCTATTCTCTTGATCATATTCAAGAGTACAGATCTTTAATCTCTTAATAGTCTTTCATTATGATAAGTGAATCCACCTCTTTATGAATCAACTCTATAATGTTTAGTATACAAGAAATGTCCATCTTCTTCAGTACTATCTAATTGCAAAGTTAATCCTTATAATATTCTTTAATCTGAATAAGAATTTATGGCTTCATTTATATATTCTCCAGTGTAGACTTTGTCAATGAGTTTGAGAAACTCTTCTGGAGATTTTATTTAATGTTATTCAGATGTTATTCTAAAGATTTCTTAATCTGTTAGTTTAATAGAGATTTATAGTGTATCTAAATTTTCGTAATTTTTAGTAATTACATTTTCTGTTATCTATTAAATTTATTCTTAAATTTAAATTAAATTTCTATCATTAGAAGTAATATTCATTAACAAGACTTTCAACATTTTTTCTCCTGCATCTTTATCTTAACATTCAACATATATCTCTTCAATCAACAAACTTTTATAATCTTACTTACTAAATGATTATCAAAATCAATACTTGGAATTTTAAACTACTAAAGCAGATCTAATTATTTTATATTTATCTAAATGTTAAGCAAAATTACGATCAATTTAATTATTATATCATTTGTGTCCTAATATAACTGGACATTTAATGAATCTAAAATTTATTTAAAATTCTAAATATCAATGAAACTATCCAAATTTTGTAATGTGTTCTAAAAAAATATTTCCATATCTTTCTAATATTTTATTGTAATTAATAATACCTATATAAAATCAGGTAAATATGGAATCATCTTCTAAATTTTCTCCCTTGACAATAAACTTGGCTTAGCTTGAGATTTTATTACTAATGGTTATTTATCAATGTAAGGTTCTACTTCAGGTAATGATCTATCAAATTCTTCTAAAACTTTTCTTTGGATCAACTTTTTCTACCATTCTCCAGAAAAGCAATTACACCATTACAAATACTCCTTCTCATTATTCCAACCTAATTTGATCTCATTTTATCAACACTACAACTTTATCACATATTTATCTTAATTTCTGCCTAATCTTTTGAACGTGTAATCATAAATTCTAATCTATTTTTATGTTTAATCCTTAACATCTTATATCTATAAAACCTATAAATAATCAAATTATAATTACCTGAGTATTTAAATAAAATATAAGGAGTTTCTCTTTCCATTTTTTCATTATCCCAGATTCCTTAAAACCGCTACCACTATAATATTCTGTTTCATTTTTATAAATTATAATATAATATTTAATAATTATTACCAAATAAAATTACTATTCTCAATCTTCCTTATTATAAGTACAAATACTCTTTTTAAAATAAATTAATTTAACTTTCTGAGACTGTGTTCTTTGTCTAATTTTTGGAAGATAAAAATAGTTAAAATTATAAATATTAAAATAAGATAGCAATGATAATTTTATAAATAATTATAAGAATTCTGATGTGATTAGTGGATCTTCAAAATCATAGAATTACTTTGAATACTTTATAGATTCACAAAGTCTATGAATCAAATGACTTAAATCATCTATTACAGAAATTATTACTTTATCAAATATATATGAGTAATTTTAATTCTTATGCATTTGAATTATTTAGAAGAATAAGCCTTAACAATTTGAGATAAAGAATGTATATCAATCTATTTAAATTTATGTCATATTTTGCATTTTATGGAAGTGTTTATTTCTTAGTAATCTTGGTTCTTATCATTATTTGCTATAAACATAAGACTATATTACATATCTACAATCAAATAATAGAAATACATAGTCAAAATAGATATATAATAATACCATTAAAGACTTTGATTAAAATTTACTTTATTTCTATTCAACATAAACTAAGTTATTTAAATATATTCAGATAGTATTATCAGAATTTAGTAAATAAAGGGATAAGAAAAGTAATACTAGATATTCAACAAATAACTTAAGATTTCAAATAATGAATATATATTATAGAGTTGTAAATATATAAAATAATAATAATAATTTAATTCTTTCACTTAATAAAATATTATATAATATGCAACAATCCTAAACAATTCTTAACTATTTAAATGGGAATTATCTACTCACAAGCAACACTGAAAATCAATTAATTACTTTAGAATTTGATTCACAATATTATAATCCTTGCTTTTACTTTTTGCATTACTAATTATTTAATCATCTTAATAGTACAAGGTAATAAATATTATTATTTTATATAGACCAATCCTAATTATAGATCTTGAATACAATTTTAAATCATAATGGAAGAACATTTATCCTACTATTGAATGTTAATAGTAAAATGGATTTAAGAAATATGTGAATAATATTTATTTCATCAATAAAGAAGAATCTTTGAATAATGTATTAAAACAAATTGTTTCAGATAACATAAAAAGCCTTGAAGTTTTGATTTCTGGATTAGAATTAGCTGAATAATCAATTTTTAATACAATAAAAGAAATCTTTAAATAACCTTTTAGATCTTAGATAAGTTTATTAATGCCAAAAGACTTTAAACATAAAGAATTAAAAACTATTTAAAATATTTCAAATTGTAGAATGATAATTGAATAATTATTAGAGACTGATGAAAAATTATAAAAGAATGAAAAAGAATTTAAAATTTATAATTTAATGGTTATGATGGTATTAAAAAAATCAAATGGACATTCTTTTTTAAAAAATTATATAATAGATGGTAAAGAATTGTTGAGAAGTAAATTAAAAATAAATAAAATAAAAAAAGAGATTTAAAAGGATGAATAATTGGATGTAACTAAGAAAATAGGTGCAACATTCAATTTAAATTTAAGTTAAGAATAAAAATTAATGAAAAATGAGGTTGATAATTAAATAAATCCTTATAAAGAAATAATTTCATAAGAAAATGCCCCATTAATTTATTAAAATGAAGGAGATGAGAAGAGAATAATTTTAGATGATGAATAAGAAGATTTTGAAGAAGTAGAAGAATATGAAGGATGAAAATGTTATTTTAATTTATTTCATTTAAATCTTAAATTATCATATATATATATATATAAATCCTTTATAAAAATAAAAAATATATAAGATTCTATATTTTCAAATAAAATTACTGTTCCTTATAGTACAATTATAATAATATTAAAATAAACAGACTTTTATCAAAAATATCGTCTATCATGTTAAAGACCACTCTCAATTATTCATGTGCAGGTAATGAAATCTATTAATATTTTGGATATAGATTTAACCTAGAAGTAAACCTAATATGAAAATAAAAAATTTGGTATAGTGATAGATAAGGAAAACTCTTATGCCGTTTTGCAAAAGAAGAAGTAGCTTTAAAATAGGGAAAATAATAGTCAATCTTAATAAAAGGGAGATTTTAGATCAAATAGTAGTTTATAGAAAACATCTTCACTATAATAATTTTATAGAGCATCATCTACAAATGATAAAAATTCTTATCAAAATTAGAAAAATACTTATGCATACTTAAAAGACATGAAAAATTAATCATCTATTTAATAGATTTAATAAAATAGTTATTAATAACGTCATATTTCCTCTAAACAACTTAAGGAATAGAATGGTAAGTTAATTGAATAAGCATTAAATAATTAATTAAAAGCAAATACACTTGAAAATTATGAAGACAAGAAGGTTAATCTAAAATTGATGAAAAGTTGTTAGGATAAATAAAAAAATCTCAAAACAAAAGATCAAATAGAATGTAACAATCAATAAATTATGGATAATAAAACAGATAGATAAAAATAAAAATAATAAGGATTATTGTCTAAATATTTCCCAATATAAGGAAATGAATAATAAAATGATAAAAATGCAGATGATAAAAAATAAACAAGAGATGTTAAACAAATTTACAATATATATACATAAATTAAAGATATTAAAAATTACTATACAAATTCATTAAAATAAACTCAAGAAAAGAAAGGATTATAACTTTAAGATTTTGTCACTTAACTTACTGTAAATAATATCAAGAATTCATAAAAATAATTAATGAATAATTTCACTCTTATTAAAACTGATAGATAATAATATAATGAGATTAAATAAACACATTTCAATAAAAGTAGTGAAACATAATAAAGCGAACCTGTAATAATAATTATATTATCATTATTAGTTTCTATATTATATTTCAAGTATACTATAATCATTAAGAAAACAAGAATCAAATAAATATGATGATAAAATAAGAGATCACTTTTCATAAACCTATTAAGTATAATAAAATTATAATTATAAAAGGGATTATTATTTGCAAATCAACTTAATTTAAATTTTGATGAAGATAAGATTGTTAATCTTCCAAGATCTAATAATTTAAAAACAATTGTATTTGATTTGGATGAAACATTAATTCATTGTAATGAAAATGCTTAGATTCCTGGTGATGTTATATTACCTATTACATTTCCAAATGGAGAAACTATTCAAGCTTCTATAAATATTAGACCTTATGCTTAGAAAGTACTTTAAACACTTTCTAAACATTTTGAGATCATTATTTTTACAGCTTCACATTCAAGTTATGCCAATATTGTAATTGATTATTTGGATCCAAAAAAATAATGGATATCCCATAGACTTTATAGGGAGAATTGTTTATAGAGTCCTGAAGGGGCATATGTAAAAGATTTAAGGTAAATGTTAATTATTTTTAGAGTATTAGGAAATCGGAAATTATCGAATGTACTTTTAATAGATAATGCTTCATATTCATTTAGTTAATAGATTGAGAATGGAGTACCAATTATATCATTTTATGATAATTATGATGATTAGGAATTATTATATTTACAAAATTATTTGTTAAGTTTTAGATATGAAAAAGATGTGAGAGATTTAAATTAAAGAATGCTAAAATTAAATTTATTTATAAATTATTAAGATTTAAAGGAATTACTATAAAGTTTATTTGCTATGTACATTTGATATGTGTGATTAAGTATGTAGATAATTATGAATGATCATACATTGTTTATTTTATATAAAATTGCTACAAATGCACATTAATTATAATTTTCATTTTTTCATAAAATTAGTTAACGAACATACACAATTTAAAAATGATGAATGTTTCAAAATGTAGTAAATGTTAAAATGTTCCAGATGATATCTTAATGTTAACATGTAGTCATGATTTATGTTTATTATGTGCAGCTAAGTCATTTTCACAACAACCACCTAAAAGAAGCAAAAAAGTAATATATATTTTAGTAATTGAATAGTTTTTTGTTTGTGATATATGTTAATCTAATACAGAATTAGATGCCAATAGTGTTTATGAATTAGAAAAATTACATTTAACCAATGCTTTATAAGATAGATCAAATCGTAAACCTGCTTCATAATAGAAACCTAATATATCTTCTGAGAAATAACTTAAACCTCGTTCATAAAACAGATAAGATAACAAAGAGAATCCAAAAGAAAAACCTATTAAATATACTGCTTAAACAATTGAAGCTAGAGTTTCTATACATTAATCTTAAAGACATATGAGTAAATAACAGAGTGAAAATTCATTCATCTAACATTCAAGAGGAATGTGTGTTGATCATCCTGATGAAGAAGTCTCATATTTCTGTTTTGATTGCAATAGTAAATGTATTTGTCCAGAATGCATTATACATGGAATTCATAAGAATCACGAAGTTAAAACAATAAAGAAATCATATCCAATTGTTAGAAAATAATTAGAAGAATAATTAGAATAAAATAATTAATGTATAATCCAAGTTGAAAATTAAAAGTAAGAGATAGAAAAAAAATAAATATAATAATAAGCTATTTAAGATCATTTAAGATTGCAAATAGCTTAAGAAATTTAAGTATTTATTTAATATTAATCTAGGCTTTGCATTAATTATTGAATAGTAAATAAAGTGAACTATTAGAAAAAGTAGATAATTTACCTACAATAATTGAATAATAGGATGGATATATTAATAGATTAAATGAGGTTGAATTCAAGTTATAAAATTTTAATGAAAAAATTAATGACATAATAGATTCTAAAGATGAATGTGGATTACTTAATTATTATGGATCAATTTATGGTCAACCAACACCACAAATACCTCCACTTCCCAATATTAAAGAAGTCCAACTATCAAATTAAATATTTTCATAAATTAATGATGTAAAAAAGTTAATTGGAGGTCTGGATATTGATTGTAATTAATGAAATACTTCCATCAATTTAAATATATCATAATATTCCTTTTAAAATAGTTGATTTAATCTTAATTAAGTAATTTAGTCTCATTATATAAGTTTAATTGTCTTTTTATTTCATCTAATAATTTTATTTTTGATCTTTTACAGAAGGATAATATTCTTTTAAACATTTTTTTTAGTAATTTCTATCAAAATCTAAGTAAGTTTACAGTCTTACATACATATTCTTGTATTCTTAAAATTATTACAATGATATTGTTAAATTAATAGATATTATACTCTTATAGATAATCTAGTATATTTTGAGAGATCTTAATAAATCTTTGTCTTAATGTAATGTTATTTAGTATTATTTTCTATTTCTAAAAAATAATATTAGTTCATTCACATAAAATCCATCACATTAAATGTATTTTTTGGATATCTGATAAATATGATTTATGTAAATCTTAACTTTAATTATTAGTCACAAAAAGAATCATTAAAAATTATGACATTAATCAACAAATCAAAAACTTGAGGTCTTAATTCTAGAAAATTGTGTTTTCAAATAACTTGTTAATTAGTAAACTCTATTATCATAATGTTATAAAAGATATAATATACATATAAAACTATCAGAACTCTGTTTTCATCATTTTCTTAATAATTATTTGAATTTTACATTACATTTAGAATTGTATAATCACTTTAATAATATAAGGACTTTCAATATAAACTTTTGTTATGAAATATTATTAAAGAAATCATCAATGTAGAAGTTGATAATTGTTAATTTATTGTGTATATAATATAAATAATTGAAGAAAATGAATTAAAAAATGCATTAAAGTTTTGGACAAACAATGTCTGTAGAAATTGCAAAGATTGCCAATTACAAAAATATGTTTAATATTGAAGCCTTGATTGTGATTCTCATTAATTTTATGTCATTAATGAGTTTTACAATAGAGTCAGAGAAGAATTCAGGATATTTATATTTTATTTAAGTATCAAATCTTTTTATTGTAGTTTTTGAGTGTTTTCACTCATCCACCAGATATATTATTTGTGCCAATTAGTATGTTACTATTAATTTTGTATTTGTTTGTTTATGGATGTTTATTGTTAATGTCATATTAACAATACAGCAGTTAAAATAAAATGATCATATCGAACAAATAATTCAAGCAACTTAGATACATCCTTTCCTTGACTGCTGAGTGCATAGTTTAACTCACCTGCCCAATAGTAGTCACTTGATTTATTCTAGTTATCTATCAATATGGGATTGTTTAGTAAATACAGTAGTGCTTGGATAACAGTGCCTATCCTGAATATTGTGTTGCACTCATTAATATTGTTATGTTACTTTTATTTTTATCGAAGTTACCAATTCAATTAGTTAGGATTGTATAGAAATTTCAGTTTAATTTCTTATTGTTATTACATAATTACGATTTTTGTAGTGGCAATAGATTGGAATACTTCTCTCTAAATTCAACCTTATATTCTATTATTAATGAGTATTTTGATGCTTGTAGATTTACTATTATATATTCCATATAAGTTAACATTTGAAAATCAAATTTATTTATTTGGTTGCACTGGATTATTTATTCTTGGAATGTTAGGTTCACTTAAGTAATTTTTAGTTTACATAAATAAAGATAATATCTTTGAAACTTTTATTTTATGTTATCCACTCTTTTATTAATTATTCTAATTAATCTAAAATATGAAATGGAAATAATTATTATTGTATATGAGAACAGGATCAATGAAATAAATAGATATCAAAAAATTGTGTTTTTCATTAGAAGCTTTAGTTTGGTTTGTAGAATAATCAAGAAGCAATTCATATCACTTTATGTAGACTCTTTTTATATTAAAATATCATACTTAGAATTGTATTGATCAAAATTGTGAATGCAAAGAAGATTTATCTAAACTGTATACTTAAAATCTTGAGAGCATGACTCATCGATCATCATTCTAATCTAAGACAGCTCTTCTCAGTAATGGAGATAAAAATAGCAATCAATAGAATCTTTCTTAAAATTTAGATGTTAGTCAATTTCAGAAAACTATAAAAGATGTTAGTAGGAGAAATGATTCATTTGTTGGTAATCCAGGGATAATAGAAATTCATTAGAAAATAAATAAACCTTTAATGTTTTAACCTATGAAATTTTTATAAAATGATTAAATAAATGAAGAATTGATATCTCAATATATTAAAAGGTAATTTCATTCAACTATTTAATAATTATCTTTTTCTCTTAATTTAGATGATGTAGAATATTTATCTTTAAAATATATATCTTTTATGTTTTCGTTCAAATAAAATAGTTCATCCTCATTAACTAAATTAAGACAAATTTAAAGTAGAACTGCTAAATTTTCGTATTTCTTTTGCAATATTACTAAAGTTACAGAAGAACAATTTATTGAGGCTCTTAAATTAAGACATTTCGAAGAAAAGAGTACTTATGATGATATAGTAAAAATGAATGTGACAGAAATTTGGAGATTAGAAATGGTTAAAGAAGAAATTGTATCAAATATAGTATGTGTCTTAAAAAAAAAGATTAAGATGTGGGAAAATTTATGTTCAGGTGAAATATCAAATATGGATAGATTTTTAATTGATATTATCAGAATTTCTAAATAAATAGAATAAAGTAGAAATTAAGTAGATTAAATATTAGATGACTTTGTTGGATAAGTTTAAAAGAATTATGCCTATTATTTAAAGTATTAATGTTTTAGATCACTCTTTTTTGATTCAGATTATAAGAAGGCAGTATTTTATCAAAGAAAAGTAGAGGATTCATGGTAATTGAGTAGAGTAGCACATAAATAAGGATAAATTGGAAATTTTTAATGGTTATCAGGAGATTTAGTTACATTAGAAGTTAGTGTTGGAGTTTAGAGTGGATAAATTATAAAAGGATTTTCTAATAGATTAGTAGATTTATTAGGATATGTAAGTTATGAGGATATGATACAAAATTTACGTATTAGAGGATTATAATCTAGTAGTGCTACATCTAATTCTGATAAAATTGGAATTTCTAGTATTATGCCACCTTATTTAACAGCATCACATAATTATTTTATTCAAAGATTTATACATAGAGGTTATACATATTATTATGATAAACCTATAAGTTCATTTGCATGTGATGCTTTAGGATTTGTATTCCCTATTAATGTAAATTTATCCTTCAATTTTCAAAATATGAATGATTTTACATTATTAGGATCAATATTAAAGATCAAAGATGAAGATGAATATATAATATTTGATGAATGGGGACGTATATTAGGTGTATCAATAAGAACTTTTGATAAATTAATATTAAAAGGTGCACTTGATGAATTTGGTATGGTACAATATAAATCAATTCATTAAAAATTTGATAAAATAGGAAATTTAAAAAATAATTTAATTAATAAAATAGCAAAAGATGATCATGCTAAATTATTTAAGAAGACTTTAACAGTACATTAAAAATAAAGTACTACTAGAAGTTAAGTTAGAAGAACCTATTAAAAACCATCTGATATTTTATTATAATTTGGAAGTATTTAACATTTCTTACCTTAAATTGGAAAGTCTATTACAGAAATACTTTCAAAGGATATATTTAAAAAATTATAGAGAGAATCATAAGAATAATTTAATAAATTAATGGATAATTAAAATAATTAATAATAAAATTTAATGGAGAAACAACATAGCAATTTATTTTAAAGATAATTAAGTTAATTTATTGATAGATAATAGAGTATAAATAATTAAGGACTTAGTAGTGCTATGTTGGATAAAGATTAATATAGAAATTTTATACTAAATACATTTGTAGATGAAAAAGGATTAATGAAGAAAAATCTATCTATATTATAGGATGAAAAATTAGTACTTTATGTTCCAAGAAATTATAATGAATTAATTGAATATTTTAATGATGCAGGAGAAAGATTTGTTGAAAGTAAAAATGATTTTGAAACTAAATCTATAAGAAGATAATAGTTACAAAATAAATATTCTTACATTAAATAATAATAAAATTGTTATCATTTATTTGATGCTGAATTTTAAGATTTTATTGATAACAAAATTAGAAAATATTATTCAAAAGCTTTATTAAAAGAAGCATTGGAATCTCAGGATGCTAAATTATTATAATAAGTTAGATATAAATGTGTTTCAACTATTGATGTAGGATTAGGAGGTATTAGTGATAAAGATTAATTTTTATATTTTGTTTGCAGACTCTCTTCTTTAAATCTATAAACAGCAAAGAGAAAAGATGTTTTAAAGATTCATATGAAGAAAGAGAAAAATTAATAATTTGATGGTGGTGAGGAATTAAGAAAAAGTTTGATATAACAATTTTCATCTATGGATTCTGTTGATAAATAGAAACCTGCTTGGGGACAATCATTATCAATTTAATAATAATAAGAAACTACTGTTCCTTAACCATAAATAAAATTTAAAGGAGAAATTGATTAACCAATTATAGTTACTCTTGCTATTCCAGATAGTAGAACATATGTATCATCATTAGATAGAGAAGAAGGACCTAATATGAAAGTTAATTTTGAAGCTTAAAATTAAAAACTTAATGAATCTTCTTTTGATATAGATGGTTCAATGAGAGAGAGTTTAATTTAAAGTGGTAATCATTCAATGAAATAATCATTGAATTTAGATGTTCCAACTTTATCTAGATAAAATTCTTTAGAAAAAATGAAATAATAATTAAATTAATCTAAAGAATTAAATAAAGAATTATCTAGAAGTTTATCTGATAAAAAAGAAGAACCACCAAAAAAGAAATTAAAATTATCTTTTTTAAAAAAGATGGAAAAAGCTCTTGTTCCTAAAGATCTTCCAGCTGGTAGTCCAACTACTCCTATTGCTTCTCCAACACCAGTGATTTTTTAAACTTAATAACCAGAGAAATAACCATCAAATTTAAGTGTTCCTGAAGAAAAAAGAAGTTCATTATTAAGTCCACCAGGTTTATTTTCTAAATTATTTACTCGATTAAATTTAAGAAGAGTATCTAATGTTGAGATTAAGAATGATTAATTTGAAGCACATGAATAAGGTTTTAAGGAATAATCTGAGAATTCAGAGAAAGAAGAATTAAAATAAAATGGATAAAGTACTCCATCTGGTACTAATTCTATGTCTAGTAATAATATTACAAGTTAAGCTGAAGGTAAGATAGAAGATGATGATCTTAAAAATGATGATGAATTAGTTAATATTTTTGAAGTAATGAGTTAAGCTTCAAATCATTAATCTATTAAATCAATATCAGCTATTTCAATGGCTACTAATATATCATTAAGATGTTTAAAGTATTTACCTAGATAAGCAAAATCTCTTTAAGTATTTAAAGTTATTTTAATTCTATTAAATATATCAAGTATTATTAGTTTAGTTTTAACAACATAAAATTACTTTGATTAATTAAGTGTGGATTAATTAAGTTTAAAAATTAATAATTAATATCGTTATTCTGCTATTGTATTATAATCTACTAATTCAATTGATTAATTATCTATTATTAAATTTTAATAACCAGTTAATACAACTTTAATGAATGAACTTATTACTTATTGTTCTAATGTAAGTTTAGAGATTAGTTAATCATATTTTGATGTTGTAGATCAAATTTAGAATGCTGTTTCATTTCCATTACCAAAACCTGATGTTTTGAGTATACCTGATGATTATTGGATATCATCACTATAATAATTTCTGACATAATAAAAAATAGAAATAGATTCCATATAATTAATTAATAATTACAATAGAAGTGATATTACATTTCTATAATTATATAATAATTCAATTGATTATTTATTAAGTCGTCTTATATTTACTCAATCATAAATCAATAATATGAGTTAACAATTAAGAGATTATAAGAATACTAATATTTTAAATTAAGCATTTATTGTTACTTATTTGATGACAAGTTTTGGTGGATTACATTTGATAGTCATATTTTTAATAGTACCATTTATTAGATAAATTAATAATATATACTTTCGTGTTCTTTGTATTTTAAGTAGAGTAACTATTGAAGAAGCAGAAGATGAAATTAAAAAATTAACTCTTTCATAACATTTACTTGAAGCTTAAGATGATTCATGGGTTACTCAAAATTAAGTCAAACTTGTATTTTATAATAAAAGTTAAGATATAGATTTAAATTAAAAATATTCAAAAATTGCTAAAGCAAAAGGAAAAGAAAGTTCATATTTCCAATCAAAATTAAGTGATACTTCTTTAAGTATTTGGAAAGACATGGGACTATATATAATGATTTCCTCTATTTCTATTGGATATCTTATATTTTCAATTATTATTATCTAAACTTAAATAAATACTTTCACTCCTTTTATTGATAATTTTGATTAAACTGTAAGTACTAGTGTTTACTCTTCAGCTCTGATTTCTAAATTATCTATAACTCCTTAAAGATATTTAAATCTTAATAGTTCAAGTATACCAACCTAATATACTCTATATGATTATTAACAAAATTAATAAATTTCATATTTCTTACAAACCATTACATCTGATACTAGTAAGATCAAAACCTTTATAACTGATATGACTAATTTTTTAGAATAATTAAATCTAGATTATAATTATAATTCAAGTTCCTCAAATATAACAATAACAAATAATTAATATATAGATAGAATACCATATCTAGAATAATTAAGTATTTTGAGTGAAATCAATCATTTACTTAAAGATAATATCTGCTATTATTCTCAACAAAATTTATGTAGATTCGACATCTAATTTGATTTTTTTAATACAGGATTAATTGGTGCTTTAGATATGCTTTAAAAGATGTAATTTAATTATGATTAATTTTTAATTGAATATCATCCTATATCTTAATCAGATATCTCTATTGAGGATGCATACACATTCAATTAATATTATAATTCATAATATTATCAATTATTAGTGATGTATGGATAAGAATTATTTTTTAAAACTTTTGATAGATTAATTTATCTTTTAGAAACCTTTTTAAAAAATGAAAAATAATCAAAAGAAACAATTATTTCAAATCTATTCATCGGTATTGGTATTCCAATTATGATAATGACCATATTTTTGGCTGTCTTAGAAATGTATATGCTCAAAAATAAAGTAAGAAGAGTAATGTTATCCTTAACATATCTACCAACATTCAAATATTAAGATAAAATCATACTATCACTAATTAAATCCATATTGAAAATTTGATCTAAATTATGCTTTTTATATTTTAATATAATTATTTATATATTATTATTAACCTAAAGAATCATTAAACATAATTATATTTTATAATAATTACAATTAAGATAGAAATATATTAAAAAAATTATATTTTATTAAACATTTACAATTCACATCTTTTTATTTTTGTATCAAACTATATTATATAATTATAATATTGGTGTCATTTTTATAATAATAATCTTTAATGGAAACTTCCTTCTATTATAATCTGTCTGAACAATACAAATAGATTATTAATATTATAATTACACTGTAATTAGAAAATAATAAGAAAATAATTTAACATTAGACATTATGACTAAGAACATTTTTAATTAAAATAACACGTTAGCAACGATCAAATTTAATTAAATGAAAGTTCTAAAGGGTTTTATAATATTTAAACACATAAACATATATATATATAGGTTCCATTCTATGTTATTAACAACTTTCACTTTCTATTTCTGTTTATTCCTAGAATACCACTTATTGTAATTTTATTCTTATTGATTGCAATCAAACCAATTCTCTTTTATCCTGGTTTTAATATACCTATCACAAAGTTTTGAATGATCTAAGTACTCATTTCATTGTCATTGATTGAACAGCAACTATCATCCAATTTAGTCATTGTCTTTTTACTCCAAATAGTTAGATCAGTTGATTGTGAATTTAGAATTATTGTATTTTCCATTAAGTTATTTATTTAATTGAAAATTGCTGAAACAATCCATATTTCAATTATCAAATAAACTTATTTCTTGCAGTTTTAGCGAATTGAATTAAATAATACGTCATTATCATCTAAAAAATTAAAGTATTATTCTAAATAAAAAGTCATTAATAATATATACATTATAAAGTAGAAATGAAAATTGATAATATTTATTGAATAATTCTGAAAAACCATAAATTTTAAGATGGATTAGTTATTCTTTAATATATTAAATTATTACTAATTAAATAATGATGATAATAGCACCAGAATTGATTTATCATGAAATCAACATGCCTTCCTTAACCTGAAATTTATATATATTTTAATAATAATTTTTAATGAGTTCTAATGGTAGTGCTTTGAAGGGATCAGGTAAAAATAAATTATCAATCAAATAGCATATCCTGATATGGCTAAACAGATATTGGCATAAAAATTAGCATAACAAATAGTAAACTAAATAGTTTCAGATGATGTTATTGATGATAAAATTGAAGAGGAAGAAAATTAAAGCAAAGAGCCTACATGTTGTTAAATGTTTTGTGCTCCATTTACTTTGAAATATTATTAACCATTCTTTAACGATTTGACAACAAAAGTTATAGCATAAAAATTATGGGCATCCTTTTTTCCATTTAAAGCAACCTTCTTTGAAATTTAAGATGGAAAAGCAGATTTATATGGACCAGTTTGGATTTATGCTACTTTAGTATTTGCTGTAGCTGCTGCAGGTAATATTTCAGGTTATTTGGCAACTCCAAGCAATATTGCATTCCATTATAATTTTGATTTTATACCTACTGCATCATCTTTATTATTTGGAATAGCATTTTTAGTACCATTTGCAATATATATGGTTATGAAAATGTTGGGAGGCAGACATTTACATTTAACATCAGTTATTTGTATTTATGCATATGCTTAAACTTGTATAATACCTGTATGTATTGTATGTTCAATACCAAATCCATAATTATAGTGGGGAGCATTGATTTATGCAATGATTAATTCATCTTTGTTTTTGATTGTTAATTATTGGGGGTATATATATATATATAAATAACTATTAGAGAATTGGAAAAGAATATACAAGCAAAGAAACATATTGTTATATGGTTGATTGCTGGATGTTAAGTGGTGTTGTTATTATTATTCAAAATGTACTTTTTCTTGTATGTATACACAAATCCTTATACTGGATCAAGATTTGATTAACTCACAAAGATAGTAAATAAATATATTTAATTTAGGATCATAATGATCACTTCTTTTTACATCATCATAAAAATTGAGAATATTAAATTTATTTATAATATTATCATTTAACCGAATGTCTTAAAAAGATAAAAAAAGTGTTAAGAGTGATAAGTCTAAAGAAAAAAAGAAGAAATCTACTAAATTAGACAAGAAAGATTCAAAGATATTACCACCACCTACTGATAATGATTAATAACAACTTATTGCAAAAATAATTAGTAGAATTGGAGATAAGGAAAGCAAGAGTTTGGGTATAAAAAATTATTAGATTAGCAAATTGTGATGATGATGATGATTATCCATAAATACAAAAATACAATAATAATAACAATTATTAAACCAATGATTTTGTAATTCAGAATAATCGATGTGAAAATTATCCTACTGTTAATAAAAATAATAATTAATTGAGAACCAATAAATTTATGATTGATTAAACAATTTATTAATAATAATAATAATAGGATCATTATAATTAAAAGAATTAATAATAATATTAAGATCAATATTATTCATTAAATTAGACATAAACCTAATATTAAAATTAATAATTTACTCAATAAGCTACATTTGATTATAGATATGAAAGAATCAAAGATTAAGTTAGTTAGAGTTTGATACCTAAAAGATAAGAAATTCTAGAATAAGTCTAAAAGGTTATTGCTATTAATGATAAATTAGATAGATAACAGAATTGATGAAATCAAATATCAATCCTAAAAAATAGAGAATATTACTAGAGAAGAATGTGAGATTATTATAGATAAATTAAAAAGTGTTGAAACTTAAAAATTATAAATGTTATATCATGATAAAAATGAATTACTTAGGTTAAATAAATTATTTATTTTTTTAGAGATATTGATTAAATTGAAATTTTCTAATAAAGAATTTCATATTTGTAAGATTTCAATTCTCAAAAAAATTTACATATATTTGAAAATATAGAAAGATTAAGTAAAAAGAGAATTAAAAAATAAATTGATATATATCCAGATGATTTACCTTAAGATTTAATTTAATTAAAATAATTATAATTGTAAAATTAGGTGCTTCAAAAATTGATGGATTTAAAAAATGAAATCATTTGGAAATTATTTAGTGATTCATAAATAGAAAATAAGAAGATTAAAGAGGAATTAGAAAAATAAGCTAATTAAGAATTTCAAGAATGGTACAACATTGTAGATTAATATTAATAAGAATTAAATAGATATAAATTATAATGTACATTTTGTGGAATCAACTTTGATTATTAATTGATTAATACTGATTGCAATTCAAATTAATAGGATGCTAGTAATATATATTTGATTAAATAAAAGTAATCTAATTCGATTGTGAATAAATACCTCCTGAACAATTCTTTGGTACTCAAAGACACTTCTTTTGTAAAAGTATATAAAATTAACAATCTTAAATTTAAATAGAAAACAATAAAGTATGATATAATATATAAAAATCAATTTCTAAATTTAAAATCTTTATAATCTAAAACAACATTTTCATCGAATCCTCCAAATATCCTATCTGTTTCTTATTACATTATAGTTTAATATACAGGTAATTAAGGTTCTCCTTATGTTTCAGTACTTTAAGGTGTGACTTAATGACCTGAAAATTAATCTTAAGATAATTTAATGTCTGTTGTTCTTCTCTTTGAACTGAACAATCCATCATTTATAAAATCACTCTACACTTATTACCAACTATCTATTAAATATTATTTAATACTATTAAAAATTATTCTATAAATTCCCATCTAATGTTATTTCATCACTTTCTGTATAATTATCTTGTCTTCTTATTATCTTTTGAACCAATAATTTTGAATAAGATTACCAAGTTTTAAAAAAGATCAAAACATTCAAATAATCATGAAGAATATTGAAATTAGATTTAAATTATAGATTATGTTGACATATATTACTTCTTTATTAACTTTTATTTCTTCTATAATATAGTAATCGAATTTGCATTTCTTTATTAAATTACTTCATATTTTAAATAGATTCTTAGGATCCATCTTTAAATATTTCATCATGATAACAACGTCTAAATAGTTAATATAGTAATTAATTATATTGAATATATCCATAAGCATCACTAATTAATTATAAAAGTATACCATCTCAAATTCAATTTAGATGATAATTTGGCTGCATCCCATAAATTATCATCTTTTCCTCCACCTAATGGTTATCCAATATCAAGTAAAAAACGACAAAGAAATTTATAATGCATACTTTAACCATTAGTTTCAGCTGAATATTTACACCAAGCTGTTTTTATTTTATCAATTTCTTCAACATATGTTTAAATCATTGAATTTTAGACTTAGAAAAATTCTTCAAATTATTCAATTAAACCTAATATAAATAAATTCAAAAGAACATAATTTGAAAATAAGATAAATGTTATGAAATATAATTAATTAAATACTGAACCACAATAATCAGAATTTTCTATACAATATGGATTATGATGCATAGTATCTGTCATAATAGTTTTGAAATCATCTCCTGATGCACATTTATAAAGTGCCAATAAAGCATATTCAAAATTAGTAAAATTTATATAATCATCAATAACTGCTCCTTTATTAATTTTACCAAATAATTAACATCCAATCAATGCATATATGATCATGGTAATAATTAGAATGGATATAAGTTTAGCTAAAAATGGTAAAGCAAACCCCATTACTCTTATTAATCTTGATAAATTTGTCAATCCTTAAAATATGACTAGAAGACGTAATTATCTAGTCATAAAAGCTAATCTTAATAGTTAATAATATGAAGTATATACATTAGATTGAAAATGATGGATTACCCAATCATTCTATAAATCTGCTATTAAATCACATAAAGATATAATTATTAAAAATATATAATATCTTCTCCAATTATTATCAAAATATCTATTAATACCTAATGAGATAAATAATAATGTAATCCATAATAAATAAAACAATATAATGAATCTTTAAATGATGTTTATTTTTCTCATATATTCAACATCCATATCATGATGATATTATAATTGACAGATTAAATCTATTAACAAAATTAGAAACATAAATTTTTAAAAAAGAGAATTATTTACAATAAAAGAAGCAAATCTTCTTATTGTCTTAGTTGGTGGTGTTGAAAAAACAGGAGTATCTTTAAGAATAATTGGAGAAAGCTCTTTAAACTCTCTTTAAAATTTTGTTGCATCCTACTTTTCAATCTTGTGTTGATTGAATCTCAATTTAGAATAAAGAGTTCCAGTAAAGAAACTTAAAAAAAACATTGATCCTACAAAACAAAATGAGATGAAATATGCATAAGTAGATATGTAATTAGCATATGGAGATGGTCCATATCTACTATGTCTACTGTTTTCAGCTACTTACAGAATTTCTCCCCAACCATCAAAAGTTGATATTACAAATAATGTTGGTAATGCAATAGTAATATTATCAAAGTTAAATTTAAAATTAATCCATTATCTTTAAGATTATTCACATTCTTATTTATTTATATCATATGATAATTTATCATCACAATATCCAAATTGACTTTCATACAAAATGATACCAAATACTCCAAACATAATCCATACTGAAATGAGAGTTAATAATATCTTTAACATATCTAAAAGGGATTAAGCTAAAGCAGCTCTTATTTTGTCTAACCATTTAATTCTATACATTAATTTCATTGGTCTAAAATGACCAAGAAATAAACAAATATTAATAAGTTGATTTTGATTATAACTACCAATAAAGAAACCAATCAAATAAATTAAATCAATAATTTGCCATGTATAATTTATATGTGACCCTTTATCCATAAATAAACCCTTTGCAATTATACAAATTATATCTTCCATTAACATAAATACATTTAAAATCATTAATAAAATTTATGGATAATTACTTTTCTCAAATTCAAAATCATGGTATGTTCGAATAATCATAACTATTATTGATAAAATTAAAATAAAATTAGTAAACCAATAAAAAGCTTATGATGAACAAATATTATAACAAATAATTCTGATTTTACTTGTTTTCTCAAATAAATAAAGAGATGATTCACATTAAATATCTTGAAATAATTTTGGGTTAGACTACATTATTAACTTATTTAATTATTCTAATATGATAATATTATTATACTTAAAGATCTTATGAAGCTTTCCATCAATTCAAGTTTTACTTTAGGTTATACTTTTTCTTCCTATTCTTAAATTTGAACTTATGAGAAATATTCAGACTTTACTTATAGATTTCTTGTAGAATCTAGTTCTGTTTGTAATACTTCCTCATCTCTTGCAGAAGTTATTTGATTTTCAAAGATTTATTTATCACTCTAATTAACTTCAACTTTTTCATCTAAATATCTTCCAAATCCATCTAGTAAAATAGCTAAAACTAATCCATAAGTTAAATAATTCAATATTATAACCATTGAAAATGAATATATCATAGAAGCAACAATATTTATCTCTGATCCTAATATATACACTCTATACCAATCATTTGTCATGATATTAAAAATTGTCATTATTGCTTTGATCAAATCATCAAATGAATGTAATTAACTATAGGAATCATTTTAATCAAACTTATTTGAATAAAGATCCATTCCAATCATTGCATATATTATGATAATTATGAACATAAATATAGTTAAATATATGTATTATGTAAATGTTATAGATGCAATTTTACCTATTAATACTGCCATTTAATTATATTTTAAACAACGATAAAATAAAATGCATTTAGTTCCTCTTATCAATCTTAAATATTATTCTGTTAAATTCAAATACTCACTAAAACTAAACTCTATAAAACTTGCAATCATTATTAAAGCTTATAACATGTTTTCCTTATTTGAGAAAAAACGTTGTAATGGATAAGTAAACATTTGTAAACTGATTTCAATCAATAAAAAAAATGTTGAAATATTTTCACATTTTAATATAAATATTGGATTAGCTATTCCATACAAAGATAAGAAAATGAAATTTATTAATATTATCAAATCAAAAAATAATTAAGTAATTTGATTATCTAATATTATAAGAGTATATCTTCTTATTATCAATAATTTTCCTCCTATTGTTGGCATCCATATTAAATAATTGAAATTATTCAAACTATTAAATATTTCTTCAAATTTCTAAAACCTAACTGGATTCATTTACAATACATTATTTCCTGACCAATTTTTAGTTTTAATTATCTTTTACTCTCTCTCTCTTTGAAAAATTTATTAATAGACTTCATGATTTGAAACAAATTATTATTTTAATTTTGGTATCTTCATATTAATTTTTTCTTATATCTATTTATAATTGATATAGTATCCTTAAATTAAAATGTATCTTTGACCTTTATTAATATGTTCAAAAGGTAATTAATTTTCAATCCTTGTTCTCATATAAATAGTCGATTATATATCGTTATTTCTTCTTATTATTTAAGGAGAAGGCATATCAAGACTTTCATCTCTTTAAGTTAGAGTCTTTTAAATAGTAATTCTTCTAGTACTCTTATGAATTGGATATTTATTTATTGAATTATCAAATTGTTATTACCTTTTATTTGATTTTACTTTCTTCAATGATTAAAAATGTTGATAATACATCTAAATTTTTTCTTTATGTCCAATTCTAGTAAATTAGCTCATAAATACCTTTTCTTCTAAACAAAGACATCTTTTATACTATTATATTTCTAATCCACATGATAATTTACAGAATTGTTCAATTAAGTAAAATTATATTCTATTAATTTCAATAATATGGAAATCTCAATAGGATCATCAGAATATAATTTAATATTCACTTAATCTTATACTTTTTTTAGTTCCTTAAACTTTGGTAATAATAGATTTTTAAGTGAGAAGTTCTTAAACTTATTCCAAATTGAATTTTAATTAAGTTTCTATATTAAATATTTAATTCAAATACCATTTGTGCTTCATATAAAATCTTTTTTTATTTTGATGATAACAATCTATTTATTTGATTTGGTTTTTCTGGTCTACAATTATCTTCAATTTATTCATTTAAAGGTTATGTAATATTTAACAAATGTTTATGTTTTTTTAATACAGAATAAAAACCAATATAACGTAAAAATGATAAATCAAAATATGAAATAACATCTTTACTTAAGAACATTTCTTATCTTTACAAACTATGATCATTTTTTTATTTAGATAATTTCTCAAATTCTTAACATTCTATTGTTGCTTCTGAATAATGAATTTTCAAAACAGCAATCACCAAATTAATAGAAAAAAAACCACAAAAAAATATGATTATTAAATAATAGATCCAAATCCATGGATGAAATATTCTCATTGTAAAAAACATTAACCAACTCCAATCATCTAATGTAATTATCCTTAAAATTTACCCAAAAGATAAAAAAATATTATTAAATGATGTTGGTAATTTAGGAGTTTCTGAAGAAATCATGCAATGCATTCCTTCAGGACAATTGTTTTAATAACATTAAATCCAATTATCAATTGGGTTTCCATCTATAGGTTGACATCTATAATTAAATAATCCCTAGAATAATGATACTCCAATAATAGAAAAGAATAAAGCAGATATTAGTAGAATAAACAAAGCTTCAGCTAAAAATACTAATGATTTTTTTAAAGCTATTAGCATATATTTCAATCTTAATAAACCATCTCCTAAATATAATAAAATTGTTATTATTCTAAGTGGAGTAGGGTCAAATGGGATTTATTTAGGATAAAAGTAATGTAAAAAGCTGATTATTGTGCATGATAGATTAAAAATATCTTCTTTATTGTATAAAAAATGTATTGTAGGATAGATACCTCCTGCAGCTAAAATTCTTATGAAAATTTCAATTGTAAAACAATAAAAAATAAATTAGTTATATTTTTCATTTGTAATTGGAGGATTTGAATTATTTAAAGTAAATAAAATTAGATTACAAATAATACAAATACCATTAATAAATTTGAATAATTAACTATCTACTATCTTCTAGAAATACATAGGTATACATAAACAAGAATAAACAATAAATTTTCTTAATTTCAAAAATTTCAGATGATCATTATAGTTCTAAAAAGTTAAACAATTAAATTACTTTTAATTCATGTTTTAATCTATTTAAACCATGTAAAGGAGTCAATACTACATAATAAGGATCTTCAAATGGATTAAGTTCTTTATGTTTTTAATACTTCTTCAAAATCCTTGGATCAAGATCTTCAACATAATATTCTACCTTTTCAATTTATTATATTTCTGATTCTTCTATTTAATCTTGAAAATGGAAATTATCTTATCTTTTATCTAATAATTGATCTTGAGAATTAATTTCACAAATTGAACTTGAATCACCAAAACATTTTTATAAATTCTTGAGCATATGCTTATTAGTAATATTAGAACAATTTTAACCTGAAGAATTATTTGTCAATTATTCTTGTTATGCCATTGATATAAAAAAGGTTTCTTTGAAACTCAAATTAGGAATTGATATTTTTTTTTCTGAATGATTAAGTTTTTCATCTACATTATTATACTCACTAGAATCTGATGAATTTTAATCATTATTTTCAAATGGTTGAAATTTTTTTAAACTTTTCAATGTATTTTATTTTACATATTTTTTGAGACTCTTCATTTCTTTTAGAAACCTTGTTGGACTCCGTTTCATCATTTGATTCGAGATTGTAAATCGAGAGCTCTTTTATCTTTTTAATTCTAATTATTTTGCAGATGATTTTTCCTACGGAGAGGTTTCTCTAGGGAGCATTATTATCTAAAAAAATTAATATAAAATTATTCAATTCCAATAAATACACAGCTATTTTATTTGAAACTAACAAATAAATAAAATGTAATAATTTATAGTGAAGTTAAATAAGTAATCAAAGTAGCATTTTTGTAATACAATACAAATGAAATAATAATATTTATTTAATATAACATGTAGAATTCATTATTTAAAAAATATAAATAAGTATAACATTTTAATTATATTACTAAAGTTATTTTAAAAGGATATTTAAATGACTCAATTCAAAATACATATTTATTTATATTTGAGTTTAGCTATAAAATTAATATTCTTTATATTATCTAATAACTAATTTCAAAATATTAAATCAATATAAATAACTTATATCTTTAATTTAAAAAAGGAGAATTCTATAAACCTTATTATTGATGAATATTAATATGATTAAATTATATAATATAAGTATTCATGACAATATTCTATTGAAAATTGATTAACAATTTATTATTATAATAATTATTATTTCCCGCTTAAAATATGGAAGTAGAAACAAATACAGATATGTCCTTTATTCTTTAAAAACTGAAAATAAATTCAGAAAAGAAATTTAAACATTAGAGAATAGGATTAGAAATTAAATAATCCATTAAGTTTTATTTGTCTCCTAAAAACAAATAAATTAAGACATAATATAGTCACATCTATTATATGCGTTATTTGAATCTAGCCAAAAGATTTTAGATTGATAGAGAAGATTCTTAATTTATAGAGTTGATTTAAAAGATATAAAACTAATAAGGAACAATAAAGGCTATTGGAACTATATTCAAAGAAATGAAATTAAAACCATATTATTTTTGTTAGAATTAAAATAAATCATTATAAGGTAAGATTATATACTTATATATTTAAGATTATGTATCTAATGAGGATGTATGTTATTTAGAAGATAGATCAGGAAGAATTAAATTATAAATAAATAATGCTCTACTCTGCTTACCTAATAAGAAAGATAAAATAATAAATGTTTCTGATTTGGTAACAGGAATTACTTTGATGATTGAAGGATAAATTGTTGCAAATAATATTGTAAAAGTTGAAAAAATTTATTTACCTACACTTCCAGAAACACCTATGTTGAAGCAATTAAACTCAACTTAATATCTCTGTTTAATTTCTGGTTTAAATTATAATGCTTTAGAAAGTACAACAAAATATAGACATATGATTGATTATTTGTAAGGTAATCTATATAGTGGTGAAGGAAGTGAAGTAAAAATTCAATAAAATTAATTTAGATTCCTTATTAAATATCTTAAGTAATATTTCTTGGAAATTTATATTGTAAATTAGAAGAGACAACAGAATAATAAATATTGTAATAAGATTTCAAAGGTTTGTATAATAAATTATAGTTAAATATAAAAGGAGTAGATGAATTAATTAGTTAATTAATATCAATAACTCCAGTAGCAATAATGCCTGGAATAAATGAACCAGTTTCTTAAATGTTACCTTAGACACCTTTACATAAATCACATTTTCCAGAAACTTTTGATAAAAGCAATTAACTTGTGTTTTTAACAAATCCAACAGAATTTACTTTAGGAGATATAAAGATTCTAGGAACAAGTGGATAAAATATCTAAGATATTAAAAAATATTCTTTAGTAAAGAATTAAGAAGATGTAGATATATTAGAAATGACATTATTTTATGGACATATTGCTCCAACTGCTCCAGATACTTTAATGTTTTAAATTTAATTAAATTATTTAGTTCATTTCCATAATAAGATTAAGATCCATTTGTTTTATAAGAGTTACCTAACATATATTTTGCAGGAAATATGTAAAAGTTTGGAACAAAGATGGTTACTGATAATGTGAGGATTGTTAGTGTACCAGCATTTTCTGAAACTGGAACAATCTGTTTAATTAATTTAAATACATTAGAATGTTTTCCTGTTCATATATAATGAATAGCATTTATATAAATATCAGATTTTAATTTTTTTTTTGTTTTAACACACTAATTTGATTTCTAATTATTCTAATTATTCATGAATCATTTCATGAATTTTTAAATAATTATATTATCTATATTTATTCCATTGATGTAATGATTTCAATTCTTTTTTATTTGTTTTTAAGCCTTACAATATTACTAATATTTTTGTAGCACAATTTTCTTTTTATATCCAAGATAATCCAAAATCTAATATATTATAATGATTTATTATACACTAATAATAATAATAATAAATACCTTGACATCTTACAAAAGAGTTGATTTTTCTCTTTAAGTTTCAAGTTTAATAAATGGTAAATTATTATGTCCTGTCAAATCAGAATATATAGTCTAATCTAAATATTATTGAATGAAATCAGTCAATTATGTAGAATTCTTTTATAATTAAATTTATTTCCACATATATTCTAAAGATCTAAATGAACCAGTTTTAGCCATTGTATACATTTAATCTAAATTATTAATTCTAATTATATTCTATCGTTTGATATCTGAATATATATCCAAAACTTTAGCTTGTAATTCAGATTAAGATGGAAAATGAGTTAATTTTATTATTTATGCTTCTTCTGAAATTTCATACTTAACTTTTTATTATTTTAATTTATTTATTAATTAAATTGGTGTCATTACAGATCCTTTAAGTAAATCATCAACTGAACATTTATAACCATTTAAACTTCCTGATTTCTTACCATAAATTTATATATTCTAAGAAATTTGATCATCTTCTGGTAATTAACATAAAATTAATTCAACTGGAACAGCTACTTAAATTTCTAACCATTTCTCTTTTTCTAATTCTTACAGAAATAGTTAAATTTGTTTTTTACTAAAATCATAATTTAATGAAGATTCATTTAATAAAATCTTTTTTATTTTTACATCAGACTATTCAGAATTTTACAAATGTAACCATTTCTTAGTTAACCAATAAGTAATATCATTTTCATCTTTTGATATTAAATCATTAGTATAAACACATTCTTACATAAATATAGCCAAATTCTCAATTTGAATAAAATTTGAACTTAATTCAGCTCTTTATGTGAAATAATATTCATCACATAAAAATATATGAGAATTGGCTTCTTTATTTAATTCTGATATATCCAATATGAAAGTTTCAATATTTAATGGTAAATATAAATGTACAGATAGATATACAAAGTTTTTTAATCCTTCTGGCAATTAAAATCCACTTGGTAATATAATAATGTCAATATTTTATGAAGCAAAATCATAATAACTAGCTTATCTCTAATTTTCTGGTTTTTTTTAATGGATTGAATTACTCTTAAATCCATTTTATTATAAAGTAAACTATACAGATTCAACTGCACTGATATTATGACAGAAGATAACTATCCCAGTCTTTCTATACAATCGTTAACTTCTTAATAATGAAATTAATGATTTAATAGGACTCTCATCCTTAGAACAAGTAATTTAAGTTTTTAAACTAAATGATCTACAGATATATAATTATTAAATTACTCCCTATATGTTTGATACGTTCTATTGAATGGTTGCAATTATCGAAGATCTTGAATAAATACACTTTAGGTAATAGGTAATAGAATGTGAATGTATTCAGCATTAGCTTTTAATATATATTTAGTAAGATCTGTTTGAACTTTTCCAAATTCCAAAAATGACAAATAATAATTGGATTAGTCTAATAATAGTAATTTGATATCTAGATTTGATAAATCAATTAAATTAGCTTATTCTGGATGTACAATTAATAATTTAATATTTCTGCTTGAAATATTTTTCACAATGAATTCAATTTAATGATCAGGAACTTCAGGATTTATTGCTGCCCATGATACAATATCCTAGATTCTTCTTAATTTCTCCTTAAGCAAAACATAATTATATGATATTATGACAACTAAACCATCTACTAATATAGATAGTAATTAAAATAAAATTGATCGTTAAATTGTATTTAAATTTAGTGAGCATATAATATTATTTGTTGTATTTCTACATAAGAAATCAATAGGATCAGTTATCAATTCTTCAATTTCTAATTATTTAATAGCATCCTATAATTTCCTATCATATCCCTCTGTAATTGGAGTTTTGATTTATTCTTAATGATTATTTTCTTTAAAAGGAGTCATATTAAAAGATATGATCTTTTTGACTTCTTCACTAACTAAAAAAGGAATTGAGCTCTATTTCTTCTATTATTTAGGAGTAAATGAATATCCAGAATCAATAGAATCGTTCATTTTAAATATTTATTAATAATATATTAAAATTAAAGAATGTTAACATTATGAAAAAATTATCAAATTATTTGGAAAACTAGTAAAAACTGAGTAATGATTATATTAGTTATGGACCTTATCAAACTAAGAATCAATTGCTCTAATAGTAAATTGAATTCAAAAAGTTAAAAATTTAGATAGATCTTCTTTTAAGATCTAATTATATTTGAAAATTAAATAATACTTCTTTATTATGCTTAAGTAAGATTAATAAAGAATTTAATCAACAATTTATATCATAAATTCATATTATATATCAAAGCTATAGATTTTTAATATTTTGAAATTCAAATATGTTATTGATTGAATTTTGAAAATGTCTGTCTAGTTATTAATTTATGATATAAAAGAAAATGTAATTATTATATAAATATATGAAAATCTTAAATAGAAAGAATTCTAGTGATTAGAAGAATAGATGAAAACAGAATATGTTATATATTATAAGTCTAATGATCATCCTCTTTTTTTTAAGATATTAGAGTCTAATTAGAAGAGAAATTAAGTTATCAAAGATGTATAATATCAGAATAACAAAGTAAAAATAATGATAATGATTATTGGACTTAATTGACTGTTTAAATAATTATTATTAAATTCAAAATGGATAATTACAAAAAATATCTCTTTGATGAGAAGTTTCAAGAACCACAACCTCGTAATACATACTCATTCTAGGCTCAAGAGAGTCAAGAAGATTAACCCAATGAATCAAACTTTGATGATGAATATAAAAAAGATTTTCTTCAAAATCAAATTAAAAACATTAGAGAGAAATTAATTATGATGGGTTTTCCTAGTTTAGGTGATTTGTATAGCAATTCAAATTCTGAAGTTGATCTTACCATCAAAGTGTAAAAATAATATACAATATGAAAAATAGATTGGTTGCAGTAATTAAATAAAGAAGAGAGGATATGGATTTTAAGAACACTTATCATGAAAAAATAAATAAAATAGAAGCAGAAAAATAACAACTATCTTAAAATTTAGAAAGAGTATCAAATAATAGAAAAATACTTGAATAAGAAAATACAACTTTATAAGCCAAGATTAAAAGTATTGAAAAGGTTCAGAAAGAATAAATGTATTTAGTTTAGATATATATTAGTAATAAATTGATGTTGGAAAGAGAGGATCTATAAAAATAGCTATCAAAATTATAAAGTAGATCAACTTAGTTTGAACATGAATTGAAGTAAAGGGATTTAGAAATTTAAAAACTTAAAGATCATATTAAAAAATAATAAGCTTAAAAAACTTATAAAAATAGTTTAGAAATTACTTAAACTATAGAATAAGGAGGTCCAAGTATTTTTGCAGCAAATGGAGAATATGAATTTAGTTAATTAGTCATGAAAAAGTGGGAGGAAGTCAATAATAAATTATTAAGAGAAAATGAATAACTTAGGGAAAATTTAGTTAAAATTCATAATGAATTAGGAGAGATACTATAAATTAGAAGAGATGTTTATATTAAAAGAAGAAAAATAGATTTTGGAGATGAAAATATTCCTTAAGAATTGGATAACCCATAATAAAATATGCATTAATTCAAAAGCGATTTATATAAAGCTCCTTTAGAAACTAATGGTAAATCAGCTATTTAGATGCTGTAAGAGAATCTTTAGACATTTAAAGAACTTATGAAAAAGTTTGATTAATAATATGAACTTTAATTAAATGAAGATGAAATAGAAATTGAAGCTGAAGGAGGCAAAATTAAAGCTTGTAAAAATTTAACAGAATTATTCAAAAATTATAATTATATTTTTGAAGCTTAGGATAAAATGATAAGTTAAATTATTAATAAAAGCTAAAATTTAAAAAAAATAGATGAGTTAAACTTTAATTTAAATAGATTCAATAGAGTATTAGATGATAAATAGATTGATGATGTTAAAAAATATTTATAAGATTAAAAGAAGTATCTAGATGAATCTAAAAATGAAATGGATATGATTAAAAAATAATTCTAACATTAATTAAAAAAAAGAGAAGAAGAAAAATAAATAATTCAAGTATTCATATTTGATTATCAATTATTAGATGAAAAGATAAATGCTTGAAGAAACCAATGATAAATTCAAGGAAAACATCAGAATGTTAGAAAATGCAAGTAGATAAGCTTTACAATAACTTAATTAAGATAATATTTGATTCAATATTTCAGTATCACATTTTTATTATATTATTATTAATCCTCTCTTATATTTTCTTTAGAAAATATAAAAAACTAATTTATTCTATAAATTAAGTCAGAAAATAAGAATACTATATATATTATTCACATTGATAAGCTTGTATAAATAATTTTAATATTGCTAACTGAAACTCAACTCATTTTTCTAATATAATATATATATATTTAATGTAAATCTTATATCATATTAATTTTGTAATTTAGTAACATATTTATATCACTTAATTTATTTTTAGCTATAGAATAATTTAATTTATATTTAAAGTGTTTTTATATAGTCAAACAATTTTATGAAATCTAACTGAGACAGAAACCCAAACAGCATAAATATCTTCTGGATAGATTTCCATTTTCACTCGTACAGCATGATATGTTTGATCTCCTCTTGCAGTGAGAACTTCCCCACCAACAGGAGATGTTTTGATATCCTCTAACATCTTTTAAATATTCATATGATTAAAACAAATTGGAAAACTCATAAAAGTATGACCTTCAGGTATATAACTTCTAATAGCAGATTGAAATTCAAATTATGCAAATTACAATCCTATATTATATATATATATAATATATACCTGTAATCTTTTCAGTTTCATAATTTGCTAAAGCTATTTACATAATACTTCCAAGTTTTTCATCATATCTGGTAGCCAAATTAATAACTAAATATTAAATAAATTAATACTTTTTCTATAACTTCCTATGGCTTCTCTTAGTTATATTTCTAATTTAGGTTCCAATTCATCTGCATATATAGTTTATCTTAATAGAGTAATTTGAAAATTTTATGGTTTTAATAAATTAATTTCATTTGGATCAACTGCCTTCCATTTAGTATAATCTTCAATATTTAGATCAGTTTTTAATACAGAATCATTTTCTTAAATATTTGCATAAAAACATTTATGATTAAAAATACAACCAATTCTTTTATATAATTAAGCAACCTAGAATATATAATAAATTAAAAAATACTTTAGGATCATTAAGTTCAAACTTATGCCCAGTTAAAGGTTCCCAAAAGTTATAAGCATATTCTGCTTATTTTTAATTTGGTTTTTTAGGTTTCTATAATCTTGTCATAACCCATCCATGAGGTCTATCAGCAGTTGATCCAAATACAACAAATGAATCTAAATTAAATCCTAGAAAGAATGAACATAATAGTAAACAATGATCTTCAAAGTCTCCACCTTTTAATGCTAAAAATGTTGGAAACCTATGCCAAACTTCTAATCTATCTCCTGAAGGCCCTCTATCAGAAGTTTTCATGGGTATTAAACTTACAAATCTTGCAGCATGATTTGGACTCATGATCCCTCTTACACTTTATAATTCTCTTATAAAGGTGCATGATGGTCTCCAAATTCCATCTTGAGATTCTGAATATAATTTAATTGGTCGAACAGATAATTTAAGTTCTTTAAAATCATTCCACCAAGCATTGCCATAAGTATGAAATCTATCAGATATTTAATTGTTAACAGATTTCTCTTTTGATAGCTATGAAACCACTATATTTTCTGGTAGTAATACTAAACCAGTTTTTGGCAATAATTCCAAATGAATTTAGAGTATACCAACATGATTTTTTCTTTCATTTTACATTTTTGTATTATAAGTAGTTGGAAGTTCTATATTTAATGAAATATTTCCATAGCATAATAAAAATCTCCATTCAATTAATTTTTGTGAAAACAACTTTCTTTATCCATTTTAAATTTAAATTACACATAATTCAATTGGATGATCTAATTTACTTAAAGTCAACAAATCTACATTTGCTTTTTGAGCTTCAGTTCTCAAATCAAATAAAAATAGTTCATTAAACTCAGGTTCTACTGAGGCATCAACTATAGCAGATGCAAATCTTTAACCACAAAAACTTAAATATAACTACAATTTTGAATTTTCAGGTTCTATAAAATCCAAGAAAGCTCTTCCTTTAAAAATACGTAAACTAACTGACCTATAATTTATACGATCTGGGTCTACAAATGTAAGCTTAATATTCTCATTTGATCATACTTGTTTATTTTATATATTATATTCATCTATTTCATCTAAATGTTTGATATCCAATATTAGATTGTCAATAAGATTTGTTTCTCTAAGTAATTTAGTCAATTTTTCATTATCCAAATCATCTATTTGAATTTTTTCACTTTCTATTTTTTTCTTTAACTTATCAAACACTTCACCTTTATCAAAATAATTGTTGATTAGTTATCGTATTTTAGTTATCTGTTCTTTAGAATACATATTTAAATAAATAAATTAATTAATGGACATATAAGACGCTTCTAGAGTTGTTTACATTTGTGGAAGTAAGTTACTTATATTAAATTTAGAGTGTGGAAAGGATGTTTAACTTGAAGCCAAAGACATTGTTAGATGTCAATGTGGTTACAGAATTCTATATAAGAAAAGAAAGGCAGATCCAAAGAATCCACCTTAATATGAAGCAATCTGAATTATTAACATTTATCTATGCCAATATACACTTCTAAACAACTCAAACTTAATTACTTATACTCTCTAAATTAATTTGTATGCTACTTAAATTTAGTTAAATAAGCTTCTAATATTTAAACATTAAATAAAGGATTATAGTAAAATTACATTCTAATTAAATACAATCTAAGTATCTTTAATGATTAAATAATACTCTTTATAAATATTCTGTGTAAAGAGAAATGATAATAAATATCTTTGTTTACGTATTAATGCAACAAGCAATTTAAGCATTTCTCCTTATTCCTAAGGATTCTGATTTCACAATCAAAAACATACCTTTTGGTGTTGCATCTAAACCAAATGGCAATCCCTTTCCAGCTACCATCATAGGTATTTCAAATTGATCATTGAAATTAGGTGATTCTGTGATCAATTTAGCAAAACTTGAAGAATTGGGATATTTTAATGGACCTCTATTTTCTACTTTAGGATCTAAAGTCTTTGATAGCGGAAACCTTAATAAATTTGTTTCCCTTTCAAGACCATATTGGAAAGAAGTCAGATCTTAAATCCAATCTTTGTTTTAATGTGGAAGTTAATTAGAGAATAATTAAGAAGCTTTAGCTTAGATTATTACACCTGTTCAAGATAGTAAATAATTTATATTATATGTAGTCTAAAATCATTTACCAATCACAATTGGTGAATACACTGATTTCTATTCCTCAAAGAATCATGCTTTTAATATGGGATCTATAATAAGAGGTCCTGATAATGCAATGCAACCAAATTGGTACTATTTACCTGTAGGATATCATGGAAGAAGATCATCAATTGTTATAGATGGTACAGATATTAGAAGACCTTGGGGATAAGTAAAGGCTCCAACAGCTGAGAAACCTTCATTCACAAAATGCAAGAGATTAGATTATGAATTAGAAATTGGAGCTGTAATTGGTGGAGCACCTAATAATTTGGGAGAACCAATTAAAGTAAATTAAGCAGAAGATAGAGTTTTTGGATTTGTAATTTTAAATGATTGGTCAGCCAGAGATGTTTAAGTGTGGGAGTATGTACCTCTAGGTCCATTTGGAGCTAAAAATTTTGCTTCTACAATTTCACCTTGGATTGTGTCTATTGAAGCATTAGAACCATTCCGTATTTAATTACCAGAACAAGATCCAGAACCATTTATTTATTTGAAAGAGAAAAAGTAAAATATAAATTAAATAATAAGTCATACTTCTTTTGATATTAGATTGGAAGTATTAATTGGAACAGAAAAGAGTCCAGAATTAGAGCATTTTACTACAAGCAATTTCAAATATATGTATTGGAGTGTGAATTAATAAATTGCTCATCATTCTATTACTGGATGTAACATTTAACCAGGAGATCTATTTGGATCAGGAACAATCTCAGGAACAACTAAGGATGGTAGAGGATGTTTAATGGAATATACATGGAATGGAAAAGAACCTTTGGTATTGAAATCAGGAGAACAAAGATTATTTTTAGAAGATGGAGACGTACTTGAAATGAGGGGATATGCAGGAGAAGGAGAGTAATAATAATTATTTATTTGTTTAGAAATCGTGTTGGTTTTGGTAGATGCAAAGGAAAGATTTTACCTGCTTTAGATGAGGCTTATTTCTAATCATGAAAGTTAATTATTAACAATATTAAAATTTATATTAAAAATGGGAAAAAAGACAACATTACTCTTTAAATTAGTGAGTTCAGCAGGTACAGGGTTTTATTACTATGGAGAGAAGAGCACAAAGTAATTGGAACATTATTAAAATAAGGAAAGTAGGGTCTAAATTGATTTTAAGAAAGTATGATCCATTAGTCAATCAATATGTTATCTTTACAGAAGCTAAATTAGCATCAGGAAAGAAAAAATGATTTGATAAGAGATGTGCAATATATAATTTTAATTATTTAAAGGAAATGCAATTAATTTTTTATTTCATCATTTTCTATTTTATTACTTTCCATAATTTATTCATACATACAAATATTTTTTATTAATTTTGCCTACTATATGTGTTTAATTTTATAATTATAAGATATCATGAAATAATTAAAAATCCTCCACAATTAATTTAAATATATTAAAAGGTAAGGTAACTCAAATAATAAGGTCGAATTTATTAATTTGATATGGATTATTTATTCTTTAATGTTTATAAAGATATAGATATTTGTTAAATCAGCATTAAAACAAAAGATATGCTAAAATATTTATAACATTTCATTAATCAAATTCAATAAGATAAATTATGTTTCTAAGTTCTTCTTAGAATATTCTTAATACTGTTATAAATATTCTAAGAATTAGGATAAGATTATTTTAATCAATAATTATATATTATACCATCATGAGATCAAGTAACACTAGAAAACACAGAAATATCTTGTAATCATAAATAAATGATGTCTAACCATACTAATTTGAAGAAGAAACTTAGCAATTATAAGAAAATGGGAATTCAAACTAAAATTTCTTTGATTATTCTAAGAGGTATTGTACATCTTGATTTAGAATTGAAACGATTGATAAATTCTTATAAGAAATATAGAGCCTTAAACAAATGTCTTTCTATAAAAACTGAATGAATTAATGAGCTTTTATGTTTATATTTTTTAGAGTTGAAATATTTTTGAGAATTACAATAAAATCTTTAAATTAAATAAGAAAACAAATAATTTTAGAGAATTCATATGCAATAAAATCATTTTCAAAGATAAAAATTTATATAAATAATTTAAAATTTACTTAAAATCTGTTTATATAAGTTTTAATCAATATACTTTGTTTAATAAAATTCAATATTTTTTTTGTGTAGCACTTTATGGTCTTACCATTCTACCTGAACTAGAAGAAGGATCATCTTAAAATTAGAAATGCCTTAATTACTTGCTTTATTCTAATTAAGCATTGGATATTTAAATCCAACAGTAGTTCCAACATATTTCTAATTATCTGAAGTGTAATTCACTTAATTTGGATCTAAAATTAAGAATATAATTTACTTAATTCATAAACTTCAGAATTTTCATAAAGTAAATCTTTTGGTCTTAAATCTCCCCTAACTAATTTAGCTTAATTCAAATCTTAACTTTTCTATATTAAATTTATAATAATTACATCTACAGTTTTTGTTAATTTAGTTTTTCCTGTGCATACTAAACATCTCTAAGTAACAACTCTATGATTTCCTGTTAATATACTCACAGTTTCTTATTGATTAACACTAAATATATCTATGAAATATACTAAAGTAATGTTTGTAAATAGTTTGAAAATTCTTCTAATTCTTTCATTCCTTTAGCTAAGATGCCATAATTTTCAGCCATAGTTTTGTATTTCTCTTCTAAAGCAGTGAATTTAGCTTTGGTATCTTCTTCATTAGCTTTTCTAAAGAATATATAATTTATTAAATACTCTGCCAATTATTTTTATAAATCAGTATTATCATTTGATGTCATTTATTTCATATACTTTCTCATTTTCTTATCAAGATCTTGTAACCCTTCCATCTTTTTCTTTAAATCAGCAATATCATTTAAAAGATTCCTTATGAACATCTCAAAAGACATATTTTCACCACAAGCTTAACCAACAACTTATAAAATTCTAGCTCTTAATAAACTCATAGGTTATGATATCTCTTTATCAATAATAGAAATAATATCTTCTTTAGATAATTATTATTATTAAGGAGCTTATTTCAATAGATTTAATTATTATAAGAATCTTTATTCATTTACATCTATTTTTCTTTTCAATTCATTTTCTATTAATCTTAATTTATTTTCTTAATCTGTATAATCACTTTTTAATCTTTTAATATCAGCTTCTAATGAACAAACTTTATGAGGATCAATATCACTTTTTCCTCCTTTGGTTTATCCACTAAAGTTTTCAGTCTTAATTTTTAATTCTTCTATATCTTTTCTATTTTATTCTCCCTTATATTAACAATCACTAATCTTATCATCCATTAATTTAATTTATGGTATCAATTTTTCTAATTATAAAATATTATCCATTTTTCTAGATAATTCTCCTACTTTATTTTATAAATCAACTGTTCTATCACTTAATATTTATTTAGTTTAATCAAATTTTTCAAGAGGTGTATATTTCTATTAAATTGTATCATTCATTTCTTTCAATTATATTCTTAATGTTTTAAAATTATCTTGATTTCTTTCATCATTATATTAAAATTTTGCTTTTAATTCAGCCATTTCATTTTAAATTCCCTTAATTCCTTCATCTTTTTATTTTGCAATGTCTCTCATTACTCTATCATAAACACCTTAACAAGATGTTTCAACAAACTTATCATTTATTCTTTACTATAATAACTTTTCACAATCACTAATTTTCCACAATGTTTTTTTCTCTAACTCATTAATACTTTATTGTAACTGATTTTAATTTTAAGTTGCTTATCTCTCCTAATCCTAAAATCGTTTAGTAAGTTTCTTATTTAAATCATCAATTTGATCGGATAATTTAGTTTTCTGTTCTTTCAAACCCTTATCTAAATCATCTTTCAATGCTCTTTTCATTAGATCACCCTCCAATTTATTAAGTTTAGCTTCCCAATCTTTACTTCTCTTGAATAGATAAGCCATTCCTTAACTGAATACTCGTTCTTTGTTTATTACCATACAAATTGAATTCTCTATTTAATCTGATCCATTTTCAGCCAATGGTTTTTCCAACTAAAAAGAAACCTATTATTCGAATTCAGGATCACGTAAAGACATAGATCTAGCTGTTCTCTATAAATAGGATTCATACTATATATAAATAAATTTAATCATACATCTTGCAATTTTAATACTTGATTCAATTAGATTTATAAGTTATTTAGATATGATGAATGTCCATTAACTGTGTTAGTAACTTTCTCCAAATAACTTTTAAGTTATTCAGCTCTCAAGTCAACTTGAAAAAGAGTCTCTTCTAATAAAAGAGTTGCTGCTTGTTATGCTTTCATTAATTTACAAAGTTTATAAATTATTAACTTATATTTTATTAACTTATTTAGAATATTTTCCAATCTGTTATACAAAATTAATTAATAGGGATTTGATACTATATATTTGCTTGATTATTTTAAATGATTAAGTATATAAACTATGTAATGATAATAATTTTTAATTATTTAGAGTTAATTGTAATTTAACTTCACATAATCTTAATTAAATTTAGATTTAAATGGATGAAATTCTTATGTCAATCAATTAATAGACTTATAATTATTTTTTTTTGAAATTAATGTACAGTGTGAAAAATTCAAATATAATATCTGATCAATTGTTCAGTCTTCTGATAGAAAAAATATTGTTATTATGAATAAAGCCATTTGAATATCCTTAATATACTTAATATCGTTTCTTATTTGGTTTTTGATTTATTAAATTGATAAGAATTTTTAATATACTTGAATAAGAAATTTTGATATGAAATTATTATGTTTAGATTGAATTAAATAATCAAATATTATCCAGAGATTTATGACTCCTCTTAATTATGAGTTGTTTTTACTAAATATTTCATAGTTATATTATTTTTAGAAATATAAAAATTAAAAAAAGTCAAAGTTAATGAATTATTGTTTATCTAAATTATAGTTTATTTAATAAAATAGTAGAAACTTGATTATGAGTTTTTTTTTCATTTTCATTTAAATGGCATAATTATAAAAAACTATATATTTCATAAACAGAATAAATATTTACAAAAATTATAAACTACTTTAAAATTATAAATATAACAATAATATAATATCATTTGAAAACTTAGTCAGCTGAAACACACATCACTGGTTTTCTCCTATTCATAAATTAATAAAACCCAATCTAAGTTAAATTGAATTATTTAATTAAATCTCCTGGATATTAGACATACTAAATAAATCTTCTTAATATTTTTAGATTTTATAAAAAATTTTTCTATTTGACAACTGAAAAGTTATCTTTTCTGAAGTAAAACTTATATGATTTAGGGCTTTCAAAATCTTAATCATCTATATACTATTTAATTGATAATTTTTATATAATTAACATCATATCACTTAGATATTTTTCAAACTGCTTATTATTAAATTAACTTATATTCTTGCATCTTTATTCCAAAATTTACAAGGTCATGTTAATTTACCTTTATTCCATCTATTTTTCATAGAGTACATAAGTTTAAATTAAAAAATAAGGATAAACTTTATTTATTGATATCAATTTATTAACAAGATTTTGGAATTTCTTTTTAATTGATTTTTATAATAAAACAGAAAAGAATCTTTCTCTTTCAATTTGAGGAGCTTTATTATTAATATTTTAAAATTATTTCATTGCTTTAATATTTTTTTTTTATTGCTGTTCTTCTTCTATATTAAACATATTATCAAATTTATATAATTGAAATAGTACTGGTTCTTCCTTTTAGATTAATAAAGCAGATTATTCAAGTTTTTTTTTATCTTAAATTAATGTTTTATACTTTTTTTTGGTTCTATCAAATAGTTTTCTAGATTATTATTAAGGATATAAATGTTTTTTAATAATAAATTCCTTATCTGGTACAAATTTGATTAATGGACATTCAATTAATTTATGTGATTCTTTTCCACATGAAAAACAAGAAACTGTAAAATATTAATCATCTTAATAAAAAATCATTTTATCTCTTATAGCAAAAAATAATTCTTGATCATCTGGATGATCTTATAAAATTTTGAGAAAACTTTTTCTCTTTAAAATCATTGCTTTAGTAAATCCTACACTTTTATAAGTCTCTTATGATTCAGTACCCATTATAAAATTTTTAATACCAATAGAGGCTCCTTTATTAACAATTCCTAAATTTATCTTTCGACCTTATTATAAACAAATTTAGATTGAACCATCCTCTATATAATATAACAATATATCATTTGCAGACTTTAAATCTTATTCAGGTGTTAGAAGGACTTCTTCTACCTCCTTAATTAATTACCTTTTGAATTGTTAACTAAAAGGTATTTTAAATAATGTGCATTAATCAAATATTTTTTAATGAGCTTCACTGATTAATTATTATCTAAGAAATTCAGATAAAGAATCAATTATCTCTTTTTCTTCTTCAGATTATGATACAACTTAATTTTCCCAATAATATGTTAAGTATTATCTTATTTACATTTGCAAACCTGAAGACATAAAACTTTTATTCATATAAGAATTGATTATCCTTAATTTCCTTTTTCTTTCTTCTGAGAATGCTGACATCTCTGTAATTATATTTCCTACTGTATTAACACTAAAGGGAAGTTAAATGCTTGAAATCATTATTAATATAATAGTAACAATTTTTTCTATATTGGATTATGGTGTTACATCTCCATAACCAACAGTGAATATAGTTACAGCTGTATAATAAAATGACTAAAGATATTGAGTATTCCATGTCTATTCTAACATATTAGTTGTAATTAACCAACTCTTTCCTTCATAATTTTCTATACTATATCTTCCAATCTAAGTAATAAGTTAAAAATTACCCAAAACCAAAAACAAGAAAATAAATGTATCACATAAAATAAAAAGGCTATCAATTTAAATAAAGCAAAAACTGAGGATGTTTTTTTTGAAATATTCAGTCCTTCTTCATAATTTGTTGCATAATTTATTATAGTTTTATGATGAACTAAAAATATTAACAAGCCTATATTTATTAAATTATTATTAATGTCGAGTGAAACATGTATATATCTATCTACTATGAAATAAATTAATAACTAAAACACTGATAACCATTATAAACCATAAGTGTTATATAAACTGTGTTTCACAATTTAATTTCTTGATGTAACTGCTTCACCATTTAAGAAATACACAGTATTTAAGCTTAATAACATATCAAATATTAAAATTAGTAGAAACAATATTGATATGTATTTAAAGTCATGGAATATAAATTATTAACTAACCCAAGCTAAATCTATTGGGATAATATATAAGAAATATAATCTAGCAGCAACAGCCACTATATCCCATATCACTTTAATATATTAACCAGGATGTATTAAAGGTATTTTCTTAAGCTTATTCATTAATAATTCTTATAGACTTTATAAAAATCTTAATTGCTTTTGATTTAAGTGAGAAAATGCAAAAACTTTCTTTTTAAAAAAAAATTCATCTGATGACCCTTAATCTCCAATTAAAGATAAATGAAAGTCTTTTACTTTTTTCACCTTTTGTACTTAATCCACCATATTGTCAACAAATTTCCTTACAAAATCATTCTTTTTTTCTTCATTCAGCTATTTTTTATCATGTGTAGGGAATAGGTAATAGTCAGCTTAGAATGGAGATGATTTTGGGAAAATTGATCTACAACTTTTTGCTTTGGAGCTTAACAAATTCGATTCATTCTATTCAGAGAATAACTTTGCTTCCAATCCATTATTTTATTGTTTCATATTGAATTTAATATTATATAATAATCTTAACTTTCTGAAGTTAAAATTTGATATTGTTTTAATTTGAGATCTCCCCAAAAAGAAAAAGGTTGAAATTTATTTTTAATTTAAAAAAATTTTATTTGCTAAAACATACTTTTTCTATTTTACTAATATTTTATAAAACTAAATAATGACTATTATTAGGTTATTTTTATTTAATAAATATTTTTTTAAATAAACACTATACTATACCGATAAAATCATCAAATTGATTGAATAAATATTTAAATTCATTTTAAAAACATATAATTATACATAAAAGAAATTAAACTATATAATTCTTTAACGTAATAGAAATAAATCAATTTTTAAATTTCTCTTTTTCATTCATTTTTAACATCTTAACTTTATATTAATTAATCAATAAATTTAAATTCTATTCAACAAAAACATGTAAAAGTAATGAAATAAAATATATAATTAAAGTATGTACTAATTATTATTATAATAAAAATTACAAATAAAATTGAAGACTAATCCAAATTGAATAAAATTTTAGTTTATCATTATTTAATATAAAAAATAATGACTTAAATAAATACTAAATAGAAGTCTTGAAAAGATTTAAAATATATGTTCAATTATTTTATTGGACTTAATTTCTAAAAGTCCTGAAAATATAATCCCTAAACATAAAATTGATCTAGATAAACATTAATAAATATTTTAAATTAAATCTGCTACAAATAATTAGTATTCTTTTATGAGAATCCAACCTAAAAATGAAAAACAAAATGCAAAAAGTGAAATTATTTTATAATTTACATTTTCAAAACAATTTCTTTTATATTTAAGGCCAGTAAGTAATCCTATTAAATATGATGACATTTTATGTTAAGGTTTTTGATAGAAATTATAATAAAAGTCTTTATCTGTCATAGCATAAAATGAAATCTTGTAATTATTTTCAATACAGATAATCATACTATAAAGCATCACAGTAATAATTAAAATAATGATGTAATTTGATAAATCTTTAATACTATTTTAATGGGAAATAACTTTTTATTTCACAAAAATAGATCTCTAAATAATTTTATAAATAAACTTACAATCATATGTATAGTTGGAATATATATACCCAAAAATATTAATGTTTAGATTTCTACAGCTATGTACCAACTCCACTCAAAACAACCAAATTTATTAAAAATATTATGTGTCAAAGTACTAATATGCAAAATATTATCCATACAAGTTTCAGTATATCCAATATTAGTGAATAATTTCGGTAATATTATGTAAATAATCAGAAGAATCCAATATAAGGGATATATTCTCATTATTCTATCTATAATCATCAAAATAGATTGAATAGGAGATAACAAAAAATTTGGATTATTTATTAGTTTCTTTCCAAGTATTAATCCTGAAATAAGGAAGAATATATCAACAGCATATAAGGAATTTATCATGATTATCATAAAATGGCTATTGATAATACTTTGTCGATCATTTTATCCAATTAGAATTCCATAATGACTCATTGAAATAGATAACATGGATAAGATTTTGAGGAGATTAAGAGAAAATATCTAATTAGGTCTATATTGAATAAGACTTGTAATATTAGTTTATATCATATTATTAAATTAATTGATTTGGATTTTTAATAATGGTTAGATGAGAAGTTGATAAATGATTTTTAAATAATTCAATTCTTCTTAGTAATTAATAGTGTTTGTAAAAGAACGTGTTTATTAAATAATTTAATGATTAAGAATTACGGAGACAGATATCATCTTATTGACAAAAAGGCTTTGGAAGATAAGAAGCTAGATAAAGACTAACTAGTTGAATTTGTAAAAACATCAGGAATAAGTGAAATAGGGAAAAATTACAATATTGTGTCAATTATAGGTAGTCAAAGTACAGGAAAAAGTACATTGCTTAACTAGCTTTTTGGAACAAAATTTGATGTCTAGAATAGGTAATAAAGCGTAGGTTAAACAACTGTTGGTATTTGGATCTCTAAAGATGTCTAAAATAATGTTGTAGTATTAGATGTGGAAGGATCAGATTCTGTAGAGAGAAAATCAGGAGAGAATGTAAGTTATTATAAATAATAATTAGATGGTTGAAAATTAAACAGCATTAATGGCATTAGCTATGTCACATTGCTTTATTATCAATGTATTTCTTAATGCTTTAGGTTAACATACAAGTTGTTAATTATCAATCATAAAAATCATTATGCAATAGAATTTAAAACTATTTTAATAAGATTCTGTTAAACATATTATATTTGTTGTAAGAGATTGGGATGAAGATGCTAATTATGAAGAGGCTTCTCGTAGATTGAATGGTTATTTATTAAATATATGGAATGAGATTCCAAAAGTAAGATTTATATTAACAATAATAGCCTGATCAATATAAAGAGACAGATTTCCATGAATTATTTAGTGTATAAGTAGTAACATTAGTATATTATAAAATGAAAAAAGAATTTGCTGATTAAACAAATGAACTTCATTCAAAATTAGCCAATTAATAAGATCCAAATTTTATTTTTAAAGATTATGATTATGAAAAGAATGTAAGATGGTCAGATATGCCATAATATTTATCAAATATTTGGGAAGTCATTTCAAATAATAAAGATTTAAATTTACCAAATGAGAAAATATTGATTTCAAATATGAGATGTTAATAAATAAAATTAGAAGCATTAGAAGGTGTTAAATAATTAAATGAAGTATAATAATAATAATTTAAATATAGGATTTAAATAATAGAGTAAGAACTAAATTTGTAGATAATTTTGCTAAAGAATGTTAAACTATTATGAATATAGCTACAAAAATATATGACAAAGATGCTAGAGATTATCATATTGAAGTATATAAAGAAAAAGAAAAAGAATTAAAAGATGAATTAATTAATAGATTCTATACTTATTTCTAAAAATAGATTGAATAACTTAAACAATATTATATGAATATGTTATCAGAAAATCTTGAGACATTAAAAAGAGAAAGTATATATATTAATCATTGAGATTAGGTATCTATAATTTACCTGATAAATTAAATGAATTGGATATGTTAAAATTACAATTTGAAGAATAATTATCATAATCTGTAATAGAAAAAGGATTGTGGTAAGAAGAAGACCATATTAAATATTTTAAATAATAATTTGATAATCATTTAAAAGCATTTGTTGAAGCTTAATTAGCAAATTTTAAATAATAATTAGATAATATAATTAAATCAGAATGTGATAAAATAGTAAGTTAATAAGTCCTTAATATTTCACCCAAATTTTGGTTGCAAATTGAAACTGATTATTACAGTATGATCTTTGATAAATATTAAAAATATGAAGTTTTATTAACAGGATTGAGAGTTTAATAAAAATAGATTGAAGATTATTTAAATAAATTTGAAGAAGATTGTTTTCATAATCTCAAATAAGTAATTGCTGTTGCAAGTGGTAGATTTAAAGATTAATTATTCTAATAATTTAAAGCTTAGTTTGTTAGAGCATCTGATGGACAACCAAGAAATTGGTAAAAATTAACAGAAGAGGAAATCTTTCATTTCTATACAGATGCTAGAGATAAAGTATTCTCATTGTTAGATTTATTGAGAATTAGAAAAATTAAATTCATTAAATAATCAGCTAATCTTAAATAAAAAGCAAAAACTCTTATTATTACTTCAAGTTAAAAAGTTTAATATGAAATGTCTTCAGATGCTGATTCTGATGATGTTGTTCTTAATGATGTTTTTTATACATAAGTGAAAATGTAATTAGCAGAAGATATTGACGTCTAATATTAAGATGCAATTTAAAAACATGTAAAATTAAATATGAACTAATTTCTTAGAAACAAGATTTCCTATAAAATATTCCAAAGCCATTTTGGTTCTTATTGTTATTCTTTATGTATGATGATGTCTTAAGATGGATGGGAAATCCATTATTATTGTATCCAATTTTGATAATCTTATGTTTTATAGGATTTTGTATTGCTATAGGTAAAATATTGATTACAACTAATTATTAGGTCTCCATAGTTTACCTAAATTAGCATTTTAATGGGTCTTTAAAACCTTGAATCAAGCTGTTATTCCCCTAATATTTGGAGGTATTTCAAAATTAAAAGGAAGTTGAATGATTATTTTAATAATCTATAATAAATATATAAAATGTTGACTAAAAGTGCAAAAGGTGACTAATTGCATTAAACTATTACTACAGTATCAATAAAATAATAAAATCTAGATAAATTATAAATCAATAATAACATCAGAGAAAAGATCAGGTGAAATTCCATAATATATGAATGGAAAATGTAAAATCAAACTTCGTAAAGAAAAACTTTATTTACCATATTTACATATAAGAGAACCCTCTCTTCCAACTTTGAAATCACCTGTTAATAAACAACAATAACAACTAAACAGCATGAGTTGGATTTCCTTAATTTAAGTTTAAAATAAGCCTAGAGATAGATCAATTTCTATTGCCAATGAAACATATTTTTAGAGAACAAGATAAGTTAGTTTTTTAGAGAATCTATTAAAATAACTAAATAAAAATAAAAAATAATCTTGAATTTTTGATAAATACATATGACTTTGTAAAATAGTGTTTCTGTTAAATGAATATCAATTGTATATCCAATCTAAATATTTTAATGTTCTCTTGGTAATAGAAACTATTTTATTGATATTTTACTATTTACTAAACAAATAAGTAATTATTAATAAAAATAAATTGATATATCTATAAATAAACATTATCATATATAGTCCATCATTTTTTAGGAGAAGGAGAACTAATATTATCATTATCCTCTTATTATAGTTTTTCTAGAAATCTTTCAAAATCCTTCATTCTAATTTTAACAGTTGATATACTAGATGTTGATCTTTGAGTTAAGGATCTATGAGATAAAAGCTAATTAATTTAAATTTAATTCATACTGATAATAAACTACTATTTCTTTTTATTGATTTCTTATTTTCTGCTCTAAACAAATTACGAAATGTATCAAAATCCAAACTTTCATTTGAAACTTCTAATTATTCTAACAATTCATCAATATCAAAATTCAAATCAAATTCAACTGATAATATTTCAATTATTTTATTTTTATGTACATAACCACTTGCATCAGGTTCACCTCCTAAAGCTACAAATGCATCAACTACAATAATTATATAATCAATTACTAAATTCACTATATTATATTTATTCTTCATTTTCTTTAGCTTTACATTCTAAATCTTTACAAACTCTAGTAATATATAATAAAGTTTAAAAATCTAGTTTTGTTGTGTTTCTATCCTCCATTTCCTTAAAAATCTTCTCTTTACAATTTTCATTTATTTCAAATCCAAATTCTTATCAAATATTTATCAAATACCTTTTAATAAATCCATCATATCATGATAACTTAAGAATCCAACTTTATTATAATCCATACGTTTGAACATTTTCATGAGTTAATCAATTTCATTCTTTTGTATATCACAACTTGTTGTATATTTTAACAAAGAATTATAATCTATCTAAACGCTTTTGATATTGCTTTAATGAATTTTTTAAGATGCTTATTATTCTACAACTTATAAACTATTCACATTATTATCCATTTCAAAAAAAACCAAAATTTATTTTATAAAAGCTTCAATCAAAAATGACATTGCTTAAATATTTGTTATAAATTATTTAATGCTCTATTGTTTATATAGGAAAATAAATATAATTTATTATAGAAATATATATATCATAATATATATCATCTTATGAATAATCTATTAATCTATAATAATTTTATTATTAATTTTTAATTTTATTTTTTATTATTAATAGGTTCTGTATGCCAAAAGTAAATTAACTCAATGGAAATTCATAACATAGTAACAAAAACTCAATTAATAATTAAAATGCATAGTCCATAAACAATAAATTTACAAATTCTTATGAAATTGAATGTGAAAGAAAAGATTGTATGATGGTCAAATTAAATGGAATTCAGATCCAACATTAATTATTTCTATTAAAAAAAGATCTGGATAAATATAAAGCCTTGTATATAAATGAAAGAAAGAAAATAAGTGATACTTATAAGGAAGTTGAAGAAATAATGGATGCTCTTGCTAAAAAAGAAAAGGATATTAAAATTAAAGAGATGCATCTTCTTGAATTTGAGTAAACTTTATTAAAAAAGAATATGTAAAATGATGATAGAAATGAATCTTTAGAAATTTTAAATTAAAAATTAATTGATAAGCAATACTAATTAGAAGAAAAAGAAAATCAAATTAATCTTGAAGCTAAAAATCAATAGTAATTAATTGATGACTTAAATAATCTAAAAGCCAACTTAGAATCTTCAGTTAAATTCTTAGAATAAAAAGAATCATAGCTATTTGCTACTCTTCAATAGTTAAATTAACAAGAATAAGAAACATTGTAAAGAGTTGATCATATCAATTAATTTATTTAAAATTCAGATCAACATTTTTCAATGATGGAAACAATTGAATAATTATTTAAATAGAAAACTTAAAATATTGAACATATTAAACAATCTGTTACTTAAAAATAAGAAGAACTGTAAATGTATGAATAGTAATTACAGCTTAAGAGTGTATGTGCTTCTTTAAATGAAGCTACTTTTATGAAAAAGGTTGCCTAAACTGAAAGAATAGTTTTAAAGACACCTACTTAAGATACCAATAAAAAATGTCAAACAAAATCTAATAAATGTAGTACATTTTCAAATTAAAAAGTGTATACAATTTAATAGAATAAACTATTTTCAACTATAAGTAGTAGAGAAAATAGTCCAATTTCTAACAGAGACTCATTTAAAATAATTAAGAAGCCCTATTTCTAAAACTAAATACCTATGCAAGAAATCAATAATTTCAACATTAAATATGACACTATTATATGATATTGACTTATTAAATTTTATTATCCTTAATAATTCGTAATTTCTTCAATTGTTATTCAAATGATTTAGCCATTATTTGGGTATTGTTGTAAATTAATGTTTAATCTTAATTTTTCATATTACAATTACTAAAGTGAAAATCTGATTTCAATTATATTTCTAAATTTATCTATTAAAATAAAGTATTCTTAAATACATAATTCTGTGTTATTTCTTAATTAATTTATTCAAGATTTATACTTAATAAATTTGTATATTTTATCCTTTATATTCTTAATTAATAGTAACTTATAGAACATAATATTCAATTAATTTAAGACAAAAATGATAAGAATATTATGATTAATTATTATAATTAATAATAAAATCTATTTCTGGATAGAAATCTACTTTAATATCTGATTTAAATTACTATTAATAGTAGTTATAATATAAAATTAAAATTAGCATTCTATCATGATCAAATAGTTGAATATTATTAACTATAAGATACTATTTGAAAATCTTTATAGTGTTAGGTAATTTTATAGACATTGCTTATGATGGAAAGTAATTTCGATATTAATGATCAAAAAATTTCTAAATTCTTATTTCTAATAATTAAAAGTTTCATTCTTTTAATTAATTTTATAATACATTTTATATAATTTTATAGGATTATAGATTATAAAATAACTGAAATAAATGATTATTTCTATATTTATTTAAAGTTATTGCTATATGTAATTGCAATATTATAAATAAAGAAGAAATTGTTTACAATAATTTACTAACTACTTTTTATACTTTCTGTTATTTGATTTAACAATTTAAATGGCTATGATTATATTTATTTGTATTGAAGTAGTTTTAAACGGCGTTTTTGGTGTATAGGAATGTTGAATATTTCTTAAAAAATTTAAAAGACAAAATTCTATAATTAATAAACTTGTGTTCTTTTTAAATGGGGATACAATTTAATATCTTTTTCTAATTAAGCTGTTTCTATAGTTTTTTTTAATTATTAATTTATAATAGGGAACGACAACTAACAAACTTTAAATTCATTTGATTAATTTTATTATATTAAATAATATAATGATAAGTCGTGACACTGGGTTCTAGGATCTAGAGAGTGGAATTTAGAGTAATAATTTATCATCAGGATAATTGGTTGATTTGGATTAAAACAGTCCAATTAATGGATAATAATTAGATCCAACTTTAGAGTTTTCTTAATTATAATAACTTGAAGCTCTGAGAATGAAAAGAGATATTTTTGATAATAAACATAAACAAGCATTAAATTTAGGAAATAAATCAGATATAAATGAAGAAGATTGTTTAATTAGTAATTTCAGGTAAGAAATGTCTATAAAATAGTGGAAAAAGAAGTGAACCATAAGGATCAATTAGTTCTATAAGTTGTAATTTAAAGAAGCAAAAGCCTATAACTTCTAAACCTACAAAGCAGAGGTCAAATAAAACAATTTAGTTCTAATAAAAATTAGAGTAAGATGATTTTGTAATTGGATCACCAAAAAATTAAAGTGGTACTAATATTTTAGGAATAAAATCTGATGCTAAGATAGTAAAATATTAAACATTTGTTTAATAATTGGAAGAAGAGTAAGAGTAAAATGAGAAATAAAAAAGAGCATAAATGCATCATGATACATTGAAACAATAATCATTAGTTTTGAGAGGAAAGAGTAGAGAAATGAAAACAGGGTATTGATATTAAGTAATTAGAAAGATTAAATGAAGTTTGGTCATAGAAAGCGTTAATTATAATAAGATTAGTATCTCGTTTCATATAACAATTAAAGACAAAAACAGAAAGAATAAAATTTAGATTAATAACTTAAAGAATATTTGAAGTAATATGTGATAATAGTGCAAATTTTGAATATATGTTAATAAATAGATTAATCAAGTAGAAACCAAGTTTAGGATTAGTAATATTCCATCATTTTTCAAGTCGAGCTCTAACAATATTAAATACAATAGAATATATTAATGATTTTCTGAGTAAATATATTAAAGTCATAAAACCTGATAGTTTATTTAAGATAGTTTGGGATATTATACTATTGTTATTTATTGTGGTTAATATTTTTTATATTCCAATTTATATTAGTTTTGATGTTAGATCATCTGGTTTATTTGAATGGATATTTGATTTATTACCCTCATGGGTATTTATTGCAGAGATTTTATTAAATTTTAATACAGCATATTATGATAAAGGTTTAATGCATGAAGATAGAAAATAAATAATGAAACATTATGTAAAAGGTAATTTTTTTTGGGATATAATTGTTGTTATCCCATTTTTAATATCTTATTTGGATATCCCATTTGTTAGATACACTTTATTATTACGACTTACACGGTTATCACCATTAATGACAAGTATAGAAGAAGTTCTCAATTTAGAAGTATATAATTAATCAATTAAATAATAGGATAGTCTTTAAATAGTTCTAGATTTATTAAAATTGATCTTTTTTCTATTATTAACTGGACATTTCTGTGGATGTGCTTGGCATTGGGTTGCAATAATTGAATATTAAGATTATGGATAAGAATTAACTTGGCTTACTCGTTATGAACCTAATGCCATGAATTATGAATGGTTTGATAGATATATTATTTCTTTATACTGGAGTGTTATAACTACTGTTACTGTAGGTTATGGTGATATTGTACCAGTTACTACAGTAGAGAGAGTGTTTGTTATTGTAGTAACTTTATTAATTTGTGGAGTCTTTGGTTATTGCTTATCTAATATTGGAAATATATTTAAATAAATAACAGATAAGAAAGCTGTCTATAAATAAAGAATTAGAGAAATAAATTAACATATTAGAAAGAGAGGGCTAAGTTATAATCTCCAATTAAAAGTAGATATATTTATATAAATTCTTAGGTTAAAAAGTATTTTGAATACTTTCTAAAAGTTAAGTAGGAGGAAGATCAACATGCAGAATAATTTATAGAATAATTAACTAAACATTTAAGAGAAGAAGTCTTAACTGATATATATAGTAAAACACTCAAACAATCCAGATTTTTAAGAGAAAATTTTAGTGAAGAAATTCTGAATCGATTATGTTAGATAGTAAAAGAAACCAAATTGTATCCAGAATAAGTACTTTTTTAAAGAAATGACTCTCCTAAGGCATTATGGTTTGTTTTATCTGGAGCAGTTGAGTATGTTGCTGATCATTAAAGTATATTAAATCATTATATCCTTTAGATGAAGATGAACATTATTATACTGAAACATTCTTAAAGAAATTAACTCAAGGGTATTATATATGATAATATGTCTTAGAGCAGTTATTGGTGAAAGAGAATTCATATCTCAAACTCCATATGAATATAATGCAAGAGCTACTAAATTTACATAATTATTAGTTGTAGAGTATCTATATCAATATTATTGATTAGTTATTAACAATTCTATTTAATATTATAAGAAAATAATGATGAATTTGAGAAGTATTGTTTAGCAAAAGATAATCTATTGTTTAATAGTAATTATAAAGCATTCGGATAAATATGTGAAATTTGTGGATGGACTCATCGATTTATTTAGTAAATCTATATATTATCATATAGATGTCCTTTCGTGTTTTTATAACCAAATAAAAACAAAATAGCAAGTTCCTTTGTTTCAACTAAAACTAATAAAAGATTATCATTTCCATATAGGACACTAGCTAAGTCGAATTGGAGAAATAATATGCCTGAAGTTTAAGAGGCTGCATTAGGTTACATAGTATTAAATAACATTATACCAGAAAAGTAATTAATTTATCATCATTCAAGAGAAATAAATGATAATTATCTCGTTAATTTGGGTTTTGAACTAAATGAGAGGGATGAAGAACCCTCTAAAATAATACCCAATAAAAAAAACTCGATGTCCAAAGATCCAAAACTCTTATCTCAATATGATAACACACCTCAATAATAACCTATTTAATAACCTTCTATCTAAACTGTCTTGCAAGATTAAAAGTCATAAAATTAGACTGCAATATTTCATAAAGATGGATAAAAGGTTAATTTAACAAATGTAATTTGTTAAATTTTTAATATTTTAGGAAAGCATTATAGATTGGGATTAAGGTAGTTAATTAAGAAGAAGCATGAATAGAATTAAATTTTAAGGACTTGATAGAGGACGAACACTTTAATCAATTAAGGGTAAATAACATCATCAAAATAATGGAGGAGGAGTAGATATATTGGAAGAATCTATGATTGAAGAAGAACTCAAAATTTAAAATACCAATATTGGATCATAAAAATTTATTCATAGTAAACTTAAAATGGTGAAAAGTAAGCATAATAATCAAAATCCAATTGGAATAAGAAAAGTATCATGGCTTGAATTTGATAGTGGACCACTTTAACATTAAGGTTTATAAATATAACTAACTTTTTTAGATGGTAAAGCTGCCTAATAGTTATTTAATAAATAAATTAGTAAAGGAAGTGAAACCAATTTTGATTAATCTCCTCCAATAAATTAATAAGAGAATGATATCAAATAAAGAATTGAAGCTAGAGAAAATAGTATAATTTCAAAAAAAACAAATAATAAGTAATAATTATTATTATATTTTAGTATTGATATAACAAGAAGAAAAAAAAGAAGAAAAACTACTTAACTTTTATAATTCTTTTAAGGTATGGATAATGGAGATACTAAATCTACAAAAAGAGTTGAAAAAAGTATATTAGGAAATGATGTTTACAGTTCTAGTGTATATACAACTGGAGGACCAAGTAATACTGCATTAATAGATTCGAATAATAAAGATAATAATAATGCAGATAATAATAGTGTACATGTTGCTCATTCATTTGATGGTATTTAGAAAAGAATCTAAGATATTGTTCATGTTCATTTTGAAATGGATTTGGATAGATATAAATCATCTAAATTTTATTTCCCTGATTATAATGTAGAAGTAGTATTATAAAAAATCTCTGTATATTATGATAAAGTGAATGATAAAAAGTTTGACATGAGAGAAATGAAAAGAACAAAAACTAATCTAACTCTATTTGATAGAATTAGATAAGCAAAAAATCCAACTATTAGAGGAAGTTTTGTTGATAAATCCCTTTAAGATAATGATTGAAATAAAAAGACTTAAATGTCACTTTTTCATAAATAATTATTAATTATTATCTTTCATTTTTATATAATATTAAAATTATTTTTATTCTTCTATTAGGTTTTAAATAAATATAAATAAAAAATAATTTTTAATAAATAATTTAACATTTTATATATATTTATTTTTCTAGGGATAATTAAGAATTCAATATTATGGAATATATAAATGTATTAAAATTTATTTATCTAACTATAAATGAATTAAATAGAGTATCTATTTATAAAATAAATATAATACTATATAAATAATTTGAATAAGTTGATTTTAATATATTTAAATATATTATTAATAAACAATTAATCCTTATATATATATATAAATTAACTATTTGAAAACTCATCATAATAATTTAGTATCACTATTATATATCAATTGAAATCCACCAATTTTCTTTTTAGTTTTATTTTAATTATCCACAACAACTTTTACTATATCTTCTAACATTTTAGGTATAATTTAAGCAGTAACTGGAGTTGTTGTATCACTTGATGGTGACATATTAACTTCTATTAACCAAGAATTAAATTAATCATCAATCATAAAATCATATCCATAAACTTCAAATGAACGTTTTCTATTTTTCAATTAATCACTACAACATCTTAAACTATTTATAACAATTTCTTTAAATTTTGGTTATATTCTTTCTGCAAAGACATCCCAACCAAACTCTTCTATTAAATATTATTAAAAATCATCTTAAGTCCACATATTACCTTTAATTTCTGATTTATGAAATTTTTATGAATATTTTGCTATAGCATTGTTTGTAAGATGGGCAAATCTATTATGAAATTAATCAATATCAAATTCTTCAGCTGAAAATCTCACATAACATTCATTATAGAAATATATTTTTAATGGTACTAATTCAGTTACTAATATCCATTATCTTATATCAAATTTACGATTTTTAATAATCAAAGGATTTTCTATATATTTCATAGCAACATAATTCATAGTTTCCTTATTTACATTATCTAAAATTGAATATAAATCATCAAGACATCTAATACCTCTTCCTCTTGAAGAATATTCAGGTTTAACAATCCATATATTTCTTGTTCCTTATAAAGAATTTTAAGGATTCTTACTCAATTATTTGAGTAATTCTTTAATTTAAGGAACATACTTTTATAAAAATTAAACACCTTCATAATCTTCATATCCATTTAGTTTTAATTATTAATCAATATAATCTTATATTAATATTTCCCTTGGTTTTTCTGGATCTTTCAAAAGAACAATCCATTCTCCAGGATGAATAAATGGAAATTCATCTCTTAAAATACTTTTTACCATATTACTCAAAGATTTATTGACTCTATTCATAACAACTAAGCAAAGTCTAATTCTGAATCTTTATCTAAAAGTTAATTAATTAATATTAATAGGTTATTATTTTTCTTCTTTATTTCTTATTGTATTATTTTAATCATCTAGTTTAGTATTATTGTTTTAATATAATTCTGGTCTTAATGTATTATTTTAATCATCTTCATCTTCATTTGGTTCTGCAATAGTTTAATTCTAAGTTTGATTTGACAAACTTTATTCAAAATCTAACAATATACTATGTATTTTAGATATTTTGAAATCTTCAATAAAATCTGAAAAATCAACTAGATCACCTAGATCATAACATCTAGGAAAGAATGATTCCCAATTATTGATACATCTAATATTTCTTGCTAATCCATATTTTGAACATAAACATTAGTTACAATCAAAATGATTAATTTATTAAAATTCCATTAGATTCATAAAGTCATCACTTCTTAAACTACAAGTCCATTTTAAATCAAAGAATGGACTATAAGCATCTTCATTTTCTGCCCAATTTCTTTCAAGTAATGAATCTCTAAGTGCATGATATCCACTAGTAATTATAAATACCTTTTGATTTGGAGCAACATTATTTTTTTTCTTCCATGTAGGATAATCTTGAATTCCTCTTGCACTTATTTTTTTCTTTTTAGGTGTATCATCTTCTTCATCTTATTCAAATTCTCTTTAACTATTTTTTATAGCAACTGATTTCTTTTTTGGAGTATATTTTAATAATTCAAGTTAAATTTACACTTTCAAATAATTATAATTTTATACATAGCATTTTAAATGTGCTTCTATACTTGTAACGAACTTTATTGCTTAAAAATTTTTTTATTTTTTATAGATGTTCTTCTGGATTCTCTTTTGATTGAGTAGAAACTCTTATTATTTTTAAATCATCTTTTACTATTTTATCAAAATAATATTCTTTTTTTCCCATCAAAACCAATAATTGAATTAAATTATATCGCAATGGATTTAAGTCTTCATTCTTTTATTAAGGTTCCTCTATCAATGGTGCTAATTTCTTTTATGTTGTTAAAGCTCTTTATTACATTTATGGTTCTTCTATTGTATCTTCTAATCTCTTTAAAGTTTTTAATTGTCCTCTTATTGGCTCTTTTGATTTTGACTTTATTAAATGTCCTTTTGTTTTCATTGATTAAAACATTTTGATATTCATATTAATGCTAGCCTTATTCCCTTAAACATTGAAATAAGATGCACGATTATCTAACATTTTTAATTAGTATAATTTTATAAAAATCAATAATATCAATAATCATCCCCTAATCTTCAAGGAATTAGATATTTATATAATAATATATAATTAATTATTAATTGTGATAGTGATAGTGTATCCTGTTCATTCTCTTGCTCTTCCTTAGAAAAGAAATTATACTCAATACACCTATCTATTAATAATTTTCTCCTATATCTATTAAGTATTGACTTCTTAGTTTATTTTAGGTTGATTTACAGAAAGGCCATCTGACTCTAGACAAAAGAATAAGTATCAATTAAATTATTTATTTTGACTCTCTTCGAATAAAAATTCTAATTTAAGAGGTAACTATTCATGACAAGTGAAACAGAATCTATGATTTTAAAACCTTTTAGAAGGAAGTAGGTTAATGTAAATGAATTTTTTACTTACAAAGCTGTTATTCATTTTATAAATATATAATTATTAAATAGTAAGATCAAATGTTAGATAACTATAAATTTAGTTAATTATAATATTAACAACAAGACAATAACAATATATTTATTGGTATTCGGTTCATATCATACTCAAATGTTTATCTATTGATAGGCTTAAATTGATCTTCTTTTTCTTTCTCTAACAAGTTCTTATGTAGCAGTCCATAAGATTTTAATCTTTTTGGATTATTCATCATTGTCTTATAATGCTTTTGGTAGTTTTTCATTAATAATTTTGATAACTTCTTAGATTTCTGCTTCTTTAAACTAAATATATTTAAATATAATAAATACCTCAACTTATTCAAAGAAATAGAAATATTTATTCAAAATTTAAATAAAAACATATACAAACTTTGGATTATTGCCTATACTTTGATTTGCTATTTTGATTGCTTTCTTAAAACATTCTTAAACTCTTTAAGCATTTTTAATATTTTCATTATAAAACATATGAGCAGCATTAATAACACCAATTGCTTATTCATTCTTCTTTAATAGTTTAGCAGCTTATTATGTAGCATTACCAGCAAGAGTATCAAAGTTTTCACCACTAATACAATTTAATTTAGCAAAAGTAGACATAATTTAATTTAATAATACCACTTTCACATTAGAATCTCCAATTTCATCTTAAAATATAGTAATAACTTATGTTCCTATATCATATGAGAATTCATCAAATTCTTATGCCTAATCTACAATATTGATGCATAATAAAAAGTTTAAATTAAGTTTCAAGGCTAATTCAGGAAAATTTGCTTATAATACATCTATCAATCCTCTTATTTATTCAAATAACACTTTATATGATGTTTCTTCTAAAATGAATAATTTAAACATATTTTACATGTTTATGGTCCTCCTTATGCGGCTATCAATTATAATAATCTAAATAATGCAAAAATAGCTGCAGGATAAGTATATTTTTATCTGTTGATTTCTCCTTATTGGAATCTAGCTATAAATTATTATAAGATAGTATTATGAATTGCTAAATCAGCATTTTAGACTAGATGAACAGTTCTAGCCACTAATTATTATTCTTCTTCAAATTCATTTTCTGGAATTTCAACATAATCATTCTATGTAATTAAGAGTGGTTAAATGAATTTGAGTAATTCTTCAGTGATTTTTAAATCATCAATTACTTAATTCAAATTTATAACAGCTTAACAAATCTTAATAGCTACTTACCTTCTTTTTTAGAATGGAAGATGTTTCATAAGATTTGGATATTCATTCATTGTAAGAATGGATAAACTCATGGTATCCAAAGGCATAGCAAGAAACTTAACAATATTTTTTTAACATTCTTCTGTAAAATCAGTTTCATTTTATCTTTCACATAATCTACAACAAGATTTAAGTATATCATTAACATATTCTGAATTTGATGGATAACATCTTAATGTAAAATTAAGGAAAGCAACTTATAAATCTAATAAATTTTTAAATTCAATTTGACTATTAGAATCTAACATCTAAAATATTATTATATTTGTTACTTTATCAATATTTTATTTAAACATACTATATATATCTACTTCTGAATTAAATGTACCCATATCATTATTTAATGCAAAATCAGCTAATCTACCCATTAGATTAATAAATATATTTTTTATATCAACTGTTGGTTCTAATTGAGTTGTACAAACCTTCAATAATTCTTATAGTGTTTGCAAATGGTATTCATCTGGAAATGCTTATATTGTGCAATCCATTAAATATGTTTAGGATATAGCATCTTTACTACTTGTGATAATATCAATAATTTTTGGTAAGACCTTTGTTTTATAAGTATCTAATGAAACACCTTCTAAATTGCTTAATCTAGTAACATTCTCTCCTATGGTTACTTTGAGATCTAATCTTTCTCTTTCTCTCTTTGATTTGTCTTTTGAACCCTACATTCTAATCCA